CACATGTGCTACCAAGGCCATGGCTGCGGCGAGGGCGCAAAGGAACATGCCTACGGGCACTAGGCTCAGAAGAGCCGGTGGAATCACCAGGGCATACATGCCTCTTTGAATTTTCTTGTTTCACTTGTGCCGGTTCTCGGGTCCACTCCCTTTCTTGATGGCCCATACGGGTCTTGATAACATCTTGATGAACTGTTCTAGGTCCTTGGGTCCTGACCCGCAACGAGCTGAACCCAGCAAAGCACCTAGAAACCCCAGACCTATCAACCAAACCAGCATCACTCGAAAGAGCTCCTGAACGCAAAGGCTTGATGAGAAAGCGTTGCCTGAAGAGCCAAAGGGCAGGCCGTACTCGAAAGCATTTGGCCTCTCATCTCCTCCGTTTGGTCCAGCGAAGCCGTCGCCTGCCTGCAAACCGAGCAGCAAAGGCGGCGCACTGCGCCACAAAGTGATTCAGGAAGGTGCGCCGCCCAATGCGGCGTCCAGAATGTTTGCCGGGGCCCCAGACATGAGCGCGGCAACGAAAGAGTCTAAGTCTCCGACGTCGGCCAACAGCAGGAAGCCAAGCCCGGCGCCTTCCAACACAGGACCTCTCCCCACAAGAGCATCCTCGAATTTTCCACGCGCGCTGTGCAAGCGCGCCAGCCAGCAGCCACCAAGGGCCACCCAGGCGTAGGTGAGCAAAAGCCTCACTCAAGAGCCGTCCCGAAAGATGCCAACCCAAGCATCTCCAACAGCGCACTGCTAAAGTGAAAATCTCGCCAGAGGAGGCAAAAAAGAAGCACACATTCCCCAGCGGCCCGCGCAGGAAGGAAACTGCAACCAAGAGCCCCAGGCCCAGGAAGACACCCAAGTCATCCACAGTGGAAGTCACCATCCAAAGCCTCAATCGCCAAGACCGTCCTGCGAAGCGTCTGTAAACCCAAACAGAGCACGCCGACGATCACGAGGGAGATGATAAGCTCTGCACCTGGCATTGATTAGGATGCTAAATCCTCGAAGCCATGGTGACCTAAGAAGTAGGAGCCCAAGGCATCCAAACGCCCTACGGAGGGGTCAAAACCGAAGAGGGGAGGGGCCAAGCCAATAAATCCTCACTAAACCATCCGCCAGGGAGGACTCCAAGGCAAGGTGAACCACAAGCCAGAGCCCTACACGGCAGCAGACAGGCGTCGAGCGGCCTCAGCAGAGGCCTTCACGGCCTTCTCTTCCTGCTGCCTGTCATCCTCGCAGATCCATGGACTCTTCGGTTGCACGCGGTCCTCGCAAGCTGATCGACCTCGGCATTCCAGCAACGTTGCTGATCAGGATGAATGCCAGGCCATGGCCTCCACATCGGGGTAAGCTTCCCGTGTGAAGGCACCCAGTGCATTTGAACTTGAACGCCCATTCTGATGATGTCGTCCCGAAGCTTCTCAAGATCATAGTACACGCCGCTGTGGAGATCTTGACACGGCCACACTTTGCCAAGATATGCCTGCGGTGATGCAAGAGCAGCCACTCACGAAGCACCTGCTTGCCATCATGCCCGATGCGGAAAGTACGGAAGCCGAGTTTGGTCAACAACGGGGCAACCAGAGGCAAACAAAGGTGCCAGGGGGCGAGGGCATCGTCAAGAGGAAGATCCTTGTGGCCACAGTGCAGACCGACGCCCGCCCGGAGCACCGCCCAATCGACACAGAAGCTGGGACGGAAACCCCACTCAAAGATCTCGTAGATGGTAGAAGATGGCCGGAGGGACTTCTTTGATGAGAGCAGATTTGAAAGCCCACGGGACAGACCAACCGCATCGAGTTCCTCAGCAGAGGGTCGAGCAAAGCCAGCAACCCACAGCCGTGAAGGTGCAAGAGGACCTGCTGTGGACAGCGAGACACCACAGCCACGTAGAACAGCCTGGCCTTGAAACGCTCCCAGTTCAACCGCGCGAAGGCTTTAGGAGAAGCGGGGTCTAACGGGTGAGAAACGCCCAGGAGCGTGCGAGTCTCGACACGGGTATAGCCCAGGGCATCAGCAGCAAAGTCTTAAGTGGCAGCAGGACCGAAGACTTGCCAGCGTCACACGAAAGAGCAAAAGCAGCATCAAAGACTCTGGAGTCTGGAGCGGAGGTTGGCCTGCCGAAGGTCTTCACACTGATGAGCAGCAACAGGGCCACGCAAAGCAAACAACGTGCGGTCGTCCTGGTAAGTCAAGGCAAGGACCGAGGGACCTGCAACAGTGATCGCCCAGACCTGCATGACTGCAGCAGCAACCAAAGAGGAAAGAGGACAACCTTGTATCAAACCACAAGTGGCCCGAAACCAAGAGCCGGAGCAACAACCCCGGACCATCAAGAGACGATCCTGACCGTCGTAGAACGCTGCCAGAAGCCACCGCACGGGAGCTGGCATGCCGAAGTGTTGCAGAACCCTCACGGACCGCTCTCTGCCACAACAACGAGAAAGCCGACCACCACTCCGACGGAAGTTGGAGCAGCTGATCAGCCTGAAAGCCGTCACAGCACCGCCACGTCTGCCACGCATTTTGCGCATTGCCCACTGTAACGCCTCAGGACTAAGGTCCAAAAAAGCAGCACACACCTCCGGCAAGGCCGGAACAGAGCCCAAAAGACCAGTGACGCGTTGTTTGTGTGCCAGCAACGCAGCCGAGGCAGTCTAAAGACGAGTCCACTGTGGCCTCTCCGCGGCCAGAACAGCCAGCCTCCGGCAGGAGAGGTGTCCAGGAAGCGGCCTCGGGCGACAAAGAAGCAGCAGCGCGCAAGCTTGACGTCCGCGCGGTCCTTGATCCACTTGCACTGCTTGGAGACATTCTCACGAGTAGCCTGCCGCAGTAAGCCTGTTGACCTGAGGCTCCTCCTGACGAGCACGCAGAACCTCAGCAACCGTCGCAGCAGCGTCAGCAAAGTCAGTGTTTGCTCGAGAGGAGGTGCGCGAGGACGGGGAAGTCCTGGCTAAGCTGAGAAAGGTCACGACGGACGGTACGCCCAAGTGTCTCAGTGCAGAAACGAAGACTAGCGTGCCTAAGGCGTCTCAGAAGCCTGCGCAGGCGGCGCACGTCCAGTGGTTCAGAAAAAGAGGCAGCCTTGTGCTGAACACGCTCCCGGAACTTGGGCTACCAAGGAAGGTGCCGAGACGAAGACGGAGGATCCTGGTTCGTCAAGGCGTGGTCAGCAAAAGAGGCAAGGACAGCCCACTGCTGCTCCAAGCAGTCAGCAGCAGAGGCAGGACAAAGTCCGGAAGGCAGCCCGCACGTCGTCCCGAGTGTGGCGAACGACAGCACCAACTGAGGGGAAAGGAGCGAGGGCACCGCACCAAGCCTGCAAGGTCGTAGTAAACACCAGTGTGATCAGCAGTCCCATCAAACGTGTGAGCATGCGTGGCCGCGATCTGTGGACTCGCCAAAGCATAATCAATCGCCCTCGTGTTGCCCGGAGCCGTGGAGGGAGGAGGGGTCGAGCGGCAATCGTCCAGTTCAACAAGGCCACCATGCGACAGAGCAGCGGCAATCGGAGATTCCGTAGCCTCGAGTTGGAAATCCCCGGCCAAAACGAAAGGAAAGCCAAACGGCGCAACATCCTCCAGCGCCTTGCTTGGAGGGCACGCGTGGCATCACGGTCACCCGCCTTCCCAAGGAAGAGGAACTTGCAGAACGATGTGCCTTTGTGAACCTCAGTGAGGGCAGCCGCCACGCGGGAGAAGTTGGAGGACAACTGCACACCAGCCACCGGGAACCGCGAAACAACAGCCGCTCTGCACCATCCGTTTTCCAACGGAGCAAGAACAACGTGCCAACCGTGTGAATGCCGGTAGCGAGTGAACGAAAGGCAATTGTTGCAGTTCAAGTCCACTTCTTCAAGGGCACAAATGTCGATACGGTGGTGATCCAGCGTGTCAAGCACCGGCCTGTAGTATGCACCACCGCCTTTGCAAACATTGAGCGCGCTTACTCGGAGGAAGGGTCAAGAGGGAATCCTAGGAGAGCGCGCCGACACCGTGCCTCCACAGCGCTCAAGGCTTCCTTGTCAAACCCAGCCGCAGCGGTGTGATCATGTAAGTCATCCAGAGCCTTCAACCGTCGTTGCAAGCAGACAGCGTCCGTAGAGAGAGGTGTGCCATCACACGCATGAGAGACCGCACACTTGCGATGAAGAAACACATGGAGGCAGGTGACACATCGCTGCCGTCGGCAAGTCGAGATGGCTTTGCGCTTCGGTTCCCAACGGGGCCAGAGGAAGGTCTCATTCATGACCCAGACAGGACGAAGGTCACTGCAGACACGGTGTCGGCCGAAGGCCGGCCGATGAACACAGCAGGCACGGGCGGCACAGTCAACCACGCGATGCGTCAGCTTTGACCTTCGGCCGTTCCGCCAGGATGTTGGCTCTGTGCCGGTTAGCTGCCCTTGGATTCGGTTTCGGTTTCCTTAGCTGCCTTAGCTTTGGCTAAGTAGGTCCCTGCTGCCCTTTTTCGGCTTAAACCCTCCTGTGTAGGGTGTTGATGCTTTCCTGCACTCAACCTGCAGTTGGATGCACAAAGGCATGTTTATTGACGGTTGCGACCACAGGATGCTCTGGCATTTGTCTTTTTTGACGACGGCGGCCACTTGCAGGTAGGAGCCTCACCCAACCCTACGGAGACTAAACCGAAAGGAGCGGCAAGAGTGCATTGGCTCAGCATCCGGGCGACACGAGAGCGGACAAGGTGAACGTGTCAGCGAACACCCGGCCCCGCGCACAACGAAAGTGATTGCGGACACAGGCTCTGGAAAGAGCGAAAGTGACTGCGAACACCCGGCCCCGGACACTTTCCAGAGCCAAAGTGACGAGGACATGCGGCCCCCGCGAGCCATGAGAGCGTGGAAGCCTTCTCTGACAAAACCTCTCTACCCACAAGCAGCCTGGACGAGACCATAACCTGATCGTTCCAAGGACGACGAAGAACACCGAACACTGAAAAATAACTGAAAGGGTTGACAAAAAAACTTTCTCTTTGGTCGCTGTCGTCCTCTGGAGTTGGCGCGCCGCTCACCAGGCACTCGTTGAAGCGCTGCACGACGGCTGCTGGGAGCTTGGCCGCCATGACGGCGTCGTCGAACATGCAGGTGCCCATCGTAGTGAGCGCATCGGAGGCCATGGTTCAACAAAACGCGGGCGTGCCACCGGAGATCAGCCTGTGGAGCTTGAGCCGAGACTACTTCTGCCAGAACACCTTATCCTCATCCGCCTCAAGCTGCCCAGTGCCGGTGCTTAACCCTACGCAGCTCTTGCCAGCTGGGCCCTAGCACCGCCATGGGGGTGAAGATGGCGATGCAGACCTGTTTACACCGATGTTTGCAAAACATGCCAACAGACTCTGTGCCCTCCGCGGTTCGGCTTTCTGCCGACGAGAGGCATGGTAGGAAGACAGCGCCATGAGTCATGATTGAGAATGGCAGGCTGGAGTGGCACTGAAGCAAAATCCCAACATGGGCGAGAAGTTATGCGATTGCTGATTGCCAGCATCACTGCTTCATGAAATCGGGATAGGTCGAGTTGCAAACGACCACAGACCAAGGAAAGCACATGCAGCCACCATGAACGGCAGCCAGCCTTTTTGCCAGGCCGCATCTGTCAAACGGTCGCAACATGCAATCCACAAAGTGTTAACTAATTCAGGAGGAAACATGAAGGGCCTGTCGACCCACTGTGAGCTTTTAGAAGTTGTGGGATTGCTTTTGTTCTGAGGGTCTTCTTGCTCGAGCTCCAAAGTGTGAGACAAATCGCATGCATTCGAGAGGGGTGCAGCAAGCAATCTCGATCTAGTCTCGGTCGGTATGAGCTTGGGACCCCTCGCGTAGATTCTACATGGGGGGGTTCCTTTTGCCCCCGACTCCTACAACCTACTGAAGGAAAAACCCGCAAACTACATCATGACCCGCGGCATCGGGCACGGCCAGTCTCTAACCGAGGCTGTGAATTGGCGGCGGCGCTGGGATGTCCAAGCGCGAGTGGCACAAAGGACAGTTCCGCAGTTTGCGGACCTCCCACTGCAAGAACATCTGCTGTGATGAAAGCATGCGGTGAAGCACAGATTCGACGCTACGCTACGGCATCGCAAGCCCATGCCTCCGAGGTGTACATGCGATGTCGGCAGACGCGGCATTTGATGGTCTCATTCGAGGGACCTTCCAGAGGAAAGATAACCCGAATTGAGACAGGCAAAGTGGGCACCAAATCTGGAAACCTTCCGACGGAAGCCCTCGCCCGGCCTGCACCGGGTGGATACTGCGAGTTGCCACTCCGGTCCTCTCGACTCTGGCATGAAGGTCGACTCTTCAAGGGGGGAACCAGAGGCTTTGGTCAGTTACTTCTACCAGAGGTCTCGGAAGCATGGAGATGCACTCCTCCGGATAAAGGGACCCTGGAAAGATGGACCGCCCAGAGGCCACGCAGAAGGCCAGCCGATGATTGCAGCTGGGGCCTTGGCGCGACTAGTCGGCCGCAAGAGTCTGTCTAGTCTCTGTAGTTTCCTGACTGCTTTGGCATTGTTAGTGACTGCGAGTGTAGGGAGAGCAGCATGGATCGTCTGGCAGAATCTCTGAATCGACAGTTCCGCACTTCGTGCCCGGATTGCACAGCTTCAAGATGCCAGCAAGCATCGCACCCATGGGAATCGTGCTCTATTGCACAGTATCCCACAAAACATGCACAACAGATCTGGCAAAGCATTGAACCAGCAGTCGCGCAAGCACTGCTGCTTGCGGAGGGACTTCCATTGAACCCCCGCCAGACGCCTTCACACAGAACGGAACGGCATCTTTCTGCAGTTTGAAACGATGGCGCTGACATCCGTATCTTCAGTTACCGTAGTAAGCGTCGTGGATGGTCTGATGACGTTGCACAGCAGGAATCCTCCGTCAGCAATCCCGACGTGCGGTCGTGTTTGTAGTCGCGGATGCGGCTCTTGGCACACACCACAGCAGCTTGTGGCCAACTGCCATTTTGTCCACCAGCAGTGAGCAAGATATCCTCCAGGCCAACCAGCGTCGCTACCAAAAGTGTAGCTCATCATCGGCATCGCCCAGGTAGATGTACGGCAGCTCGCAACCGTCTTCGAACTCTGTCTCGTAGAGCCTATTTGGACATCCACACTTGGGCTTGCGCGCTTCCTACGGTCTCAAAGACCCCCAACTCCTGCCTGACATGATCTTCCAAAACGAAGTTGCTTGGCGTAAACCTTGCAGCCCGTCCTGCCAGACAGAATGCTTGGTGATCTTGTGTTGTCTTTTGTCCCTCCGCACATTCGTGCTCTGAACGCCTCGGAATCTTCGCTTGACGATGACAATCTTGTCCTGCCCAAAACAACACCAATCTCTGCTCCATTCCGAGGGGCAAAGCTTATAGCTTGTAACTGCTGCTACCAGTAGCACCGTATGAAGGACACTTTTGTGCGAGCGGTCCAATCGAAGTAGAGGCAGCCGCGTGCACATCCACTTCCTCGGGCCGCACAGTGTCGTGAACCGTTGTGGATCAGTAGATCATGCAGGCAGAACAGACCTACAGCACCTCAAGACTTGATTCTTTCATGGCCAAGGTGCTTGATGCCTTGAATGGTATAGGTTGGCTTCAAGCACAGCTCGTGCAGCTCCTCATCCTTCAGGTGCAACAAGATGTCAAAATCAAGACTTTTGCTACAGTACCCCCACATCGAGAGCCCGACATCGAAGGGATTCTTGAAGTGCATCACGATCGCGTCCCCTTCGTCCGGAAGCTTCTCTTCAAGCAGCGGGCCTGCCTGCAGAGGGCTTCGGCCAAAACAACGCTGCGTGGTTGTGGCTCCCTTGCCTTTCCGAATCCGGGCCCTTCCACCAGCCTCGGCCCCGAGAAACGGCAGCTTCTCGGCCGTGACTGCAACATGAAGAACTGAGCTCCTCACACCCAGCCTGGCTTTTGGAAGCAGGGGTCCAGCTCTACCCAATACCCGCCTGCACGAATGATACCAAGAATAATTCACATTTCGTACCGCCATCTCTGAATACCAACCTATACCTACATATACACCAATGAACCTGCAGGTCCGACCCAGCTTCTGCCGGTCGTCTTGACTTTGGATCCAACCTTTCTTTCCAGTCGGACCTGAAGCGATAGCAGCGCAGGATGCTCCGACTCCAAATCGGAGTTGAGCTCCCGGCTATCACGTTCGAAGGATCCGGTTCTGAACCTCTCCTCACATGGAAACAGCATCCGCGATGCAAAGTCTTGCCAAATCTACACGTGTGAACAATATGAGTGGAGCAAGTTTTGCCGATCCCCAGGCAGAGTAACTGCGAGGGCATGTCAGTCGTGCACCACAAGTGACTTGCTGTACTCTCAGACTGAGGTGATGTCGCCTTGAAGAGCACGCCTCGGCTATTTCGGGATCAGATGCTCTGGTCTCCAGCATCCGTTCATCAGTGACAGCTCCAATTTCCTAGAGGGCCACCTTGCATGACATAATACTCGACGGTCGGGTTCGTGATCACCAGGGTAAGCTCATCTCCGGATTGAACCGCAGCACTCTCCAGGGTAGCTTGAATGGGAAGTATCGTACCTGGAATGTGTCTGGTTACGACAGTGCTCAGACCCTATGGCTGGGATGCACAAAGGCTTTTCAGCCCTGAGGTGTCGGGATCTTTCAGGTCTATCCATTCGTAGGAAAATCCGCCGATTTTGGCGGCGTGTTGGATGGGTTTCGATGGGCTTGGAGGTGTTAACCTCCCTTTTTCCCTCCTCCCACACCCCCATGGCTGTTTGCAAGCAGCACCCAAACCCCCCAAAAACATCACACCACAGCCCATTGGGTTCAAATCAGCCCGCCCCCCTCCCCTCTCCCCGCCTCCCCCTCCCCTCCGTCCCCTCCCTCCCCCCCCTCCGCCCCCTCCCCCCTGCCCGCCTCCCCCCCTCCCCTCCCCCTTCCGCCCCCTCCCCCCCCACCCGCCTTGCCCCCTTCTTCCTCTTCGACCTTGGCATCTCCGCTCCAAAGTGCTCCTTGTTCCTACTTCGCGTGATCCTCGCGCAGCCTCGCGTGCTTCCGCCTCTTCCCCCCGTTTTGTCTCACAATCTTAGAAGCGCACCAGCGAAGCTTGTCAACTTGAAGGTTCCCGTTTAGTCTCACAATCTTAGAAAACCTTTTGGGGCTCTTCTGATCCTACATGATCCTACCACAATTAAAAGGTTAACCTTTTATGGGATAAGATACCCAGCCACTGGGAAGATGTTCCTGAAACCCTAGCCCTAAACGGTTCTAAAGGTGTTGAACATAGGGTTTCAGGACGGTTTAGGTTTCGGGTTTAGGTCCTGCGGTAAGGCTTTGTTTGCACTTCCCATCTTGGCGTCTCCTTCTAGAACTAAACCTACGGGCCTCGCGGACACCAAACGACTTTGCCTGTACAAGTGCATTCGGCTTCTGGTCTGTCGCCCACGGGGTCGGCGGCTTGAGCCGGAGGCTCTTAAATCGGGCAGCGCTTCGCTGCCCTGTATGGACTGAGCTATGGCTCAGACGAATGGGCTTGTCTTGCGAAGCAAAAGCCACGACGGGTTGTGCCGCCGACCCGCCGCCGACCCCGCATCATCGGACCTCCGTTTCTCCATGGGGCCGCGCAGGCCCTGGCCCGGAGGCGTCTCGGAACGCGCACGCGCTTCGCAGCCATTCCCCACGGCATGGCGGGTTTCGGGGCCGCCGTGGACGACCCCAGGAGGCGAGCCGGCGAGCATCATGAGCACTCGGGCGCCCGCAACCGGCCCCGCGGCGCGAAATGGACGCGAAGTGATGATTTCCAAGTTTTTGCGTGGGTTGCGGAAGCCCCAAAAGGGCGCGCATCATCAGCATCAGCGGGGTCCGGCGGAGGGCGGATGCGGGCTACCTGGAGGGCCGACGAGGGCTAAGAGCGTAAGATCACCCATAAGTTGTGCACTTCGGGCCTACGTCACACTTTTGTTCCGGTGTCGAGCTGTCGTTGTCTCGGCACCGTCTGGAAATTTTGACCGTGTCTTTCCCGTTCCCCCGCTACATCCGCTGACAACAACTCGCGCTGCCCGCACCTGGGCGCAGCCCCTAGAATATCATGGACATGTGACATGTACGCGCCATGAAGAATCCGTCGACATTACAGCAAACGATCCGAGCCTTTGAGGAGCAGCCGCTGTGCCCGAGGTGCCACATCCAACGCCGCTTCGATGAGGTGCTGAAGCTCCTGAGAAACGCTGAGGACATGCACAAGCCAGAAGCGAAGCAGACCGAATTGCATGTCCAGAGCATGTCTGTTCTGGCCTGGATTGTGTTGCCAGAGTCCAGCTCGGGCGTAAGCAACGTTGCGCCACTCAGCGAGAGGATTGAAACCTTCCTGGAGCCCATGGCTGTCTACGGAAACTTCTTTGCCGACTGCCTCAGGTTCTACTACTCGCAAGGAACAACGCATTCTCTGGATTGATGCCTAGATGGCTGGTTCCAAGAAAACGAAGTGAAGAAGCACTGGTTTGCTCTTACCATTCACACCTGTTCACATAGCGGCTCTGCTCTGAACCAACGACTGCACCCACTCTCGTTCGCACAGAAGGCAGCCACTTCGACTGTCAGGCAATAGGTAGTCCCTCGGGCTCGGACAGCTAACTGACGAGTCCGGGATCCGTGTGTGGCATTTCGGGCAGGGCAACAGCGTTCCATTCGCAGGATCCTGCTGGAGCTCTTGATTTTCAGGTTCTCCGTGCATGTAGTGCGGTGCACGATGCACTTCATGCTCCGTCCTTGGGCGTGCTCCTGGTAAAAATGCTGAGGGCGAGGTCCGAGAACTTGGCGCGCATCTCGTCGCTGATGTCCCCGGAGGCCTCAAAGAGGGCGTCGGCGCAAGGAGCTCTCGGCTTCTCATCCCGGCCCATCCCGGCCTCCAGCTTGATGAATGCCTTTGAGCATTGCATGTAGTACTTGTTGTAATACGTGGTGAGCGCCTGGCCCAAGGAACGGGTCTTTGGCAAGCTGGTGCAAATTGATCCCTACGGCTACGAGTTTCAAGCTTCAGCCAGGGCCCTCACTATCAGAGAGTAGATGGTCTGCGTGTCGAGGATGTCCTGGAAAAAATCTAAAGACAAGGGATCCTCTGAACAATCTTTCAGGTCCCTCTAGTCCTCGTATTCGGCGAGACGCAGCGAAGTCTTCATGGCCTGCCCAAACAATACCGCACGGCAGGATATGCAGCACATTTAGGACACACTTGAGCGCAGAAAACCACGAACCAGATGCAGTCGTCCAACAATGACCATTCCAAGGTTGAGCAAAACGAAAAGCAGACGTCGGATTCGTCCTTGAATGTCCTGCACATGTTCAAGCCCGATATCAAAGTTGACTCGATAAACATCTTCTTCTGCGAAATTCAGCACATGGCCTTCGAAAACACTATCGGAAACTCGACGCGAAAAGATTGCGTGCGAGATCCTATTCCAAGCCTGGATCACGGACTTGCAATGCAGGGGTTCAACTCACGTCAGGCACCTCTACATCCACGCGTGGCGACGGCAAACAATGCGGCAGTCAGCTTTGGTAAGCAGATGTGAAGAACAAACTCTACACGGAATCTTCGGTGAAATCTTTCACAGTCTCATCATGCCGAACGTAGCAACAAGCCGGGCCATCTGAATGGATCGGGAGATGCTTCCGTCTGCCTGTGCCTCTGACAAATGCCTCGAATGTAATCACAGATTTCGTGCAAAGCACTCAGGCTCGTCATCTGGTGTCTTCACAGGGCGGCATCATGTTTGCTAAACACCGGGTCCAACGGGTCCAACGGCGCTTCACAGCACCCAAAGCAAAAACAAAGCTGCATGGCCTTACGAAACCTCTTCAAACATGCAGGCTTCACCCATCAAGCTTCAGTGACGCACGGAAAAGTTCAACTCAGCCTCTGACAAATGCCTCGATCGTAATCATGAGCTTTGTGCACAGCACTCAGGCTCGTCATCTCGTGCCATCACCGGCATGCACCACTCGAAGACGTCTCGGTCTACATGCGGCAGTCAGCTTTGGTAAGCAGATGTGAAGAACAAACTCTACACGGAATCTTCGGTGAAATCTTTCAGTCTCATCATGCCGAACGTAGCAACAAGCCGGGCCATCTGAATGGATCGGGAGATGCTTCCGTCTGCCTGTGCCTCTGACAAATGCCTCGAATGTAATCACAGATTTCGTGCAAAGCACTCAGGCTCGTCATCTGGTGTCTTCACAGGGCGGCATCATGTTTGCTAAACACCGGGTCCAACGGGTCCAATGGCGCTTCACAGCACCCAAAGCAAAAACAAAGCTGCATGGCCTTACGAAGCCTCTTCAAACATGCAAGCTTCACCCATCAAGCTTCAGTGACGCACGGAAAAGTTCAACTCAGCCTCTGACAAATGCCTCGATCGTAATCATGAGCTTTGTGCACAGCACTCAGGCTCGTCATCTCGTGTCATCACCGGCATGCACCACTCGAAGACGTCTCGGTCTACATGCGGCAGTCAGCTTTGGTAAGCAGATGTGAAGAACAAACTCTGCACGGAATCTTCGGTGAAATCTTTCAGTCTCATCATGCCGAACGTAGCAACAAGCCGGGCCATCTGAATGGATCGGGAGATGCTTCCGTCTGCCTGTGCCTCTGACAAATGCCTCGAATGTAATCACAGATTTCGTGCAAAGCACTCAGGCTCGTCATCTGGTGTCTTCACAGGGCGGCATCATGTTTGCTAAACACCGGGTCCAACGGGTCCAATGGCGCTTCACAGCACCCAAAGCAAAAACAAAGCTGCATGGCCTTACGAAGCCTCTTCAAACATGCAAGCTTCACCCATCAAGCTTCAGTGACGCACGGAAAAGTTCAACTCAGCCTCTGACAAATGCCTCGATCGTAATCATGAGCTTTGTGCACAGCACTCAGGCTCGTCATCTCGTGTCATCACCAGCATGCACCACTCGAAGACGTCTCGGTCTACATGCGGCAGTCAGCTTTGGTAAGCAGATGTGAAGAACAAACTCTACACGGAATCTTCGGTGAAATCTTTCACAGTCTCATCATGCCGAACGTAGCAACAAGCCGGGCCATCTGAATGGATCGGGAGATGCTTCCGTCTGCCTGTGCCTCTGACAAATGCCTCGAATGTAATCACAGATTTCGTGCAAAGCACTCAGGCTCGTCATCTGGTGTCTTCACAGGGCGGCATCATGTTTGCTAAACACCGGGTCCAACGAATCCAATGGCGTTTCACAGCACCCAAAGCAAAAACAAAGCTGCATGGCCTTACGAAGCCTCTTCAAACATGCAAGCTTCACCCATCAAGCTTCAGTGACGCACGGAAAAGTTCAACTCGGCCTCTGACAAATGCCTCGATCGTAATCGTGAGCTTTGTGCACAGCACTCAGGCTTGTCATCTCGTGTCATCACCGGCATGCACCACTCGAAGACGTCTCGGTCTACATGCGGCAGTCAGCTTTGGTAAGCAGATGTGAAGAACAAACTCTACACGGAATCTTCGGTGAAATCTTTCAGTCTCATCATGCCGAACGTAGCAACAAGCCGGGCCATCTGAATGGATCGGGAGATGCTTCCGTCTGCCTGTGCCTCTGACAAATGCCTCGAATGTAATCACAGATTTCGTGCAAAGCACTCAGGCTCGTCATCTGGTGTCTTCACAGGGCGGCATCATGTTTGCTAAACACCGGGTCCAACGGGTCCAATGGCGCTTCACAGCACCCAAAGCAAAAACAAAGCTGCATGGCCTTACGAAGCCTCTTCAAACATGCAAGCTTCACCCATCAAGCTTCAGTGACGCGCGGAAAGGTTCAACTCAGCCTCTGACAAATGCCTCAATCGTAATCATGAGCTTTGTGCACAGCACTCAGGCTCGTCATCTCGTGTCATCACCGGCCTGCACCACTCGAAGACGTCTCGGTCTACATGCGGCAGTCAGCTTTGGTAAGCAGATGTGAAGAACAAACTCTACACGGAATCTTCGGTGAAATCTTTCAGTCTCATCATGCCGAACGTAGCAACAAGCCGGGCCATCTGAATGGATCGGGAGATGCTTCCGTCTGCCTGTGCCTCTGACAAATGCCTCGAATGTAATCACAGATTTCGTGCAAAGCACTCAGGCTCGTCATCTGGTGTCTTCACAGGGCGGCATCATGTTTGCTAAACACCGGGTCCAACGAATCCAATGGCGCTTCACAGCACCCAAAGCAAAAACAAAGCTGCATGGCCTTACGAAGCCTCTTCAAACATGCAAGCTTCACCCATCAAGCTTCAGTGATGCACGGAAAAGTTCAACTCAGCCTCTGACAAATGCCTCGATCGTAATCATGAGCTTTGTGCACAGCACTCAGGCTCGTCATCTCGTGTCATCACCGGCATGCAGGTCACACGAAGCCCGCAAGCACCGCCAAACGGCCGAATAACATCCCATATGCGTTCGTTCGATGCATGGAATCATGTCTGGCAAGATGCGAACCGAGCTTGACACGTTCTCAGCTCGTTCATCGGGTTCCTTCCTCGGCCATTCCTTACAGCCCTGGCCTGCTCAAACTGGCCCTCGTACAGTTGTCGTTGCGAGAGCAGGTAGATGTGGAAGGCCTGATGGACCAGGCTGCGCAGCTTACAAAGTAGGTTTTGTCTGGGAATGCTGCAGTTGACCGATCTTGCTCTGTTATATGCTGTTGCTATGCAGAGATGCTGCAGGGATGCCGGGCACCCAGTGCTTGGAACTCTTGTCGTGGTTTTGTACCGTTTCCAGTGCAGAACATCACCGAAAATGCAGCAACCAGGAAAACCATGCAACGAAGACGCTGCCCCGAACCAACCGGTGCCCACGACATCTGCATCAATCCATATTTTTTGCAAGCAAGCTCCCAAGTTCCCTCAACGCTCCTGACATCTCCCGCACTCCATCAGGTCGACCTCAAAAAACCCTAAACCTAGCAGTACAATCAACACTTGCGAGCGTTGGAAGGTGGACGACGACCAACACTACCGCTGCAACATGACGACACATGCAAGGAGGAAAAGACCTCAGCAACGACAACCACCACCACCACCAGCACCCCGGAAAATGAAAAAATAACTGTGACAACAAGCAAACAACCAGCGAGCGGGAAGGACGCATTTTTGCTAAGCACCCCGTAGATGGGTTGCATGAAACTAGGGCCGAATGCGTTTAACAGGCCTCGGAAATTGCGTTTGGGTTTTTGGGTTTACGCAAAGCTCCCGGGGCTCAACTTGACCATTTTTTAGTGCTGAATCGAGCCTCAGGCGCCTTGGGTGCTTGCAGCCCGAAAGTTCATTGATACCCGGTTTTTGGCGTCCAGTTTCACCCCCTAGGCCCCCCTCACGCATCTCCCTTTTTCCATAAGCTTTCGCCAACAAGCTCCCTCCCCTCCCTCCCTCTGACTCCCTCTCTCCCCCACCCCCTTCCACCTTCTGCGTCCGCTCTGCGCTGCTCTTTCACATTACTGAGCTCGTCTCCGGCACGCCGGGGCGAGCGAGCGGTTTTGGCGAAACCAGGTTCGCATATGCCTTTAGCAGGCCTTGGAAAATCCATTTGGGCTTGGTCGGAGCTCCGGAACTGCCTTTGAGCAGTTTCTGGGTGACTGGATTTTTGGGTGTAGCAACGGCGTTGAACACCAAGGTTAGCCGAATGCGTGTAGCAAACCTTGGAAAATGCACTTGGGCTTAGTTGGAGCTCAATTTGCCTCGGGAGCTAAGCTGAGACAGCTCCAGAATGTGTTTTCCAAGCCTTGAACATGCATGTTGGCTTTGGTTGGAGCTCTGGAAACTAATCCACAGCATTTTCTATCACGCTCGCCAACCTCATTACGAGTACCATCATCATCTTCATCAACATCATCATTACAGTAATACATGCAACACATGCACTGTATATCAGTGTATCTGAGGCTGCATCAACATCTCTACAATGTACACACGTCATCATGGTCAGTGTCATGATACTGGCCAGCATGCTCATCATGATCAACATCATCCCAAACAAACATCATCGTCATATTATGCCTGTTTTATGCTCTGTCAGGTTCATGCAGTATTCGTTGTGATCTTCATCAAGGATCGTGGTCAGTACTGTATGTTCGTCACGGCTGGCCAGGGTCACAGTTGTGGAGGTCGTAATGACGATCACAACGAAAATTCGCAAGAATCAGTGTAGATGTGTTGATGATGGTGAACGGGTGGAGGAGGAGAAGGAAGAGGAGGATGAGATACCATGGCCACAGCCAACATCCTCGTCATCATGATGCCAACGTTATTACTGCTGCTGTCGCCTTAGTTGCTGATTGACATCTTCCTCACTATTACAAAAGCAGCTTTTCTCATTCTTCAGTACGGTCGCTTTGAAATTCCTTGTCGTCAATAGTGCCGCAACAATACCGAAACCGATGATGATGCGACGACGACGACGATGACGATGTCGATGACGATGAGGATAGGGATTAGCGTGATGAGGAAGATGAGAACAATGGGGATGATGGTGATGCTGATGATGGTGGTGGTGGTGGTGGTGGTGGTGGTGGTGGTGGTGGTCGTGGTGGTGGTGGTGGTGGTGGTGGTGGTGCTGCTGCTGCTGCTGCTGATGGTGTAGTGATGATGTGATGATGTGATGATGTGATGACGTGATGACGTGATGAATGGATGATGTGAAGAACTGATGATACTAGAAATGATGTTGATCAGGATGATGATGACGATGACGATGACGATGACGACAATGACAATGATGACAAGCTTGACATTCTAAACCCTGCCGCCATCTGCCTCGCAACCGCGCCAAGGGCTCTCCAACGCACGATCACTGGAGACGCTTTGGTCCTTCGACGTTGCTTCGACCCAGAGGAGGATCGGAGACTGGGAGGGGTCGCGTGCTTACGCACTTTACGACTTGTCAATTTGCCCCACCTGCGTGACCAGCGACTGCAGTGTCTGTGCGGTCGTCATCGTGCCCTGCGTGGCACCTGACAGTTGCGGTAGGCAACTCGAACTGTACATTAGTTCGACCTGGGTCACAAATCAAGTCAGACCGGGGAGCCTGTCATCTGAGCATCCAAAGTCTTGTTCTTGAACCTCGAAACCGATCCCGAGATTGAAAGGCCGTGCCACAGGAACGAAGCAGCCATCCGCACTCTCACACATCTCAGCCTACATTCTTAAGGGATGCACTTCTCCACCTCCAAGGCTGCCAGCAAATACAACCTCGGCAGTGAGCTTCGGATACACGCTCCTGATTTGACGTCCGATGGTGCTGTTGCATCTGCTCGAGGACACTGTTTCTCGGCCTTCTTCGAGAAGCATGGCGGCTAATGCACCAAGTTTTGCTGAGCCACTTCTTTATGCGGTCAGGATGTCGTTGAACACCACCTGCAACTGAATGAGCACTCGAGATTCTGTGAGGCGCACAGCTGCACGGCTAAATCGTGCGGCGGCCAACTAACCCTGTTGACACCATGTGCTCTAAACTATATACATGACATGCGTCTTCTCGCAGGACAACGCTTTTACTCTCGCATCACCACTTCGTGAAAACCGCTTTGAGCAGCGGCAGTAGGTCACGATGCTGGATGATGTCGTTGTGGCAGCAGGGGAAGCTGTGCAACCTGGGGTGGCAAGTCGCAAGGTTAGCATCTTCTGGAGTCGAAAACAGACACGACAAGGAAGGATTCTCGGTTACGTTTCGGTTTGAGGTGACGCGCCTGAGAGGCTGCACAAGTTCGGAAGATAAATGGCAGCCAAGGCTCGGAACGTTGCCGATCTCGGAGAGCTCCCTGTCCCAACCGGCCGTAAGCCCGGGCGACCCAGGCGGATGCAATGCAAAACGATTGCAACCAAGACCGCATTAAGCCATCCTACGATTCTTGACTTAAACACTGCTCCGTCCCAGAACTGGTGCACTTGCGAAGGCCTGCCATGGCTGTGGGGAACCTTCCAGTCCTTCGTTCCGTGGAGAATGAGCACCTCGGCCCAGTTGGCCGGCAGGACGTGAGAAGGGGGCGATGAAAGCCATGCCAAAAACTACAAGCTTTTCGGGGCGAAATATGGGCGTGCTTGCGTTGTGCTAGGAGTATCTCCGCACGGATGTCAGAATCTGATCTGCAAGACACGAAGTCTGTCTGAGGATAGGATGCCACCACCAAGAGGCCAAAAAAGGCAAGGGCCTTGGGGACGGGGGTCCCCAATGGTGATGGGGAAGGGGGGTAGCAGCAGACCGTGCTGCAGCGAGCGTCATCAGCAATTGGGCCCTCTGCACTCAGTGTCACGTGGTCCATCAAGTGACCCCAAAGCTGGGACTCAGACGTTCGTGCCTGCAGCTACTTCCCGGATTCGGCCAGCAGAATTGAATTGGAGTCCGTGCCAACCCCGAACCCAAGCCTCCACACCTGGGCACAGAAGCGGCGAAGCTCTGAGCAGGAAGAGGCGGCCAGCGCGCCTTCTCGGAGTCTTGGACACGGCCGGCGAAGTGCCGCCTCAACCAGCGACCCTGCTGCAGCCGCAAGAGAGAGGAACGGTGCCTGTGCAGAGCTGTGACTCATCAACAGAGCACAACAGATGGCCCGCATGGCCTCCAGAACCACCCCTCCGAAGTGGAAGCCCTCTTTCAGCAAAGCTTCCACGCATACCAATGCGATGCCGGTGCCCAGGCCTTCCGAAACCGCTTCAACCCCGAAAGTTCCGTCTGTTCGCTCTCATCACTGCATCGTCTGCTTGCCATCAAGCATCTGTGGCCCCACAGAATGACCTCCCGCATAGGCCAGAATCCAACGAGAGCAACTGCCTTTACTACCCCAGAGAATCCACAGGAGTCCCAGCGGCCACCCCAGTTAGGGTCCTTGTCCCTCTCCGCTTGGGGCAATGACTGCAGGACAGCCCGGACATCCGCCACGACGCTGGCCTCTGATCCAGAACTACAATGGAAAAAAACGGCTCTTCCAGCTCGAGATCAAAAATCTCGGAAGGGCTGCAGGAAACGCCTCGACGCCACTTCAAAGGAGAGTGTATTTGCAGGCCCACCTCCGAGGGTCTGCAGGAGTCGGAATAGCCACAGCTACAGTAGTCGATGGCGATCACCTGCACTGTCTGCCACCAACTTGGAAACGAGAATCATCAGCCGCAGCATACGTGCCTCACATCCGAGTCGCGATGCCAGAAGCTTGTACAGCTCAGTCCGATGTTGCACAACCACGTTGCCTGCCTGCCTCAGCTAGAAAACATGTGTGATTCAGCTTTGCATTGAGGCGAACCAGCATGCACTTAAAACTGGCAGCTTCATGTACTCAGTACTCTTAGCTGCTGAGCATCCCGTGCAAGTACACCACAGTCGTTGCCTTCTCTGATGATGGGGACAAGCGTAGCCCGCAAACCATGCCATTCTCGCTCGTGATGTTTAGAGGTACTGCCCTCTCAAGACCTGTTGGTAGATTCTGCTGGCTTGGGGGCGCATCAGGCGGTTGAGTACTGAGTTTAGACTGTTTACATGATGGTGGGGCTCGGGCACCTTGGAATGGGCCGCTTGTCTCGGAGTTGAGAAGGCCCACAAGCCGCGCAGCCAGCTGCACCCAGAGTGGCGAGCACCTGCAGACGAGCGTTTAATCAATGCTGGGGCTTCCCGATTTGCGACTGCGCTGCCTGGAGAGGTCAGTCTTGTCGTAAGGCGGCCAGTTGACTATAGAGCCGAAGACGACGGCAGCCCGCACGCCGGAAGATAGCCATAGTGCCAGCACCTGCTTGGCAGCTAGGGTCAGCTTCCACTTGTCTTCGGCGGCCGCTGATGTGGCCGCCTTCTACCGAACCACAGGCACCGGCCCGGCGGCCGCCGGCGGCCCGGCGGCCCTGTCTTGCCGAGCTGCAAGTAGAGGCGGCAGACTCGCGATCCCCAGAGCCAAGCCCAAGAAGCCCAAGCACAGGCCAGGTAGCATGTCACATGCTCTCATGCAGTTCTAGCAAGCGGCTGCTGAAACTGGCTTTGAGGAAGTGTAAACGAAAGATCAGCACTTCCATGCCGCTTCTGCTCAGGTGCTCTGCATGCTGTGCCGTCATTGACTCCATAAACATTTCTTGAGCTTGCCAATCTAAAGCAGCAGGCCGCTCCAAACTGAAGAAAAGCTGCAGAGGACATGCATGATTCGCGCTGAAATCCTGGAGCCTCTCCTTGCCAACAGATTTCAGGATGGCATGACTTTACTTTCCTTGCTGTATGCGTCTGTCTGTGTGTCTGTGCATCTCTGCGGCAGACGTCTGGCATAGACGTGCGAGGGGTCAGAGTCCCGGCCTGGCATCTCCCTGGCCATTTGGTTCAGCAGCTTCGCGGCCTGGCATCAGCCGGGTCGTGACTGGGGCTGCCTGTACTGCCACGCTACACTGCTTCACGTCACGTATGCACATCTCCTAGGCAGCGGAGCTTCAAAGTGGCTTCAAGATCGGCGGGTTTGGGCCTCCGTGTGGCGGCTTGCCTTCCGGTAAAGCTGTACTGCCTGCAGCACGCTGCAGCGCGGACCGGACCGCAGGACTTGGGGATTCTACCGGAATTTGCTCTCGCTCTTGGAGCCTCGATCTTCTTGTTCTTGTCAAGAAGATGCTGCGCGTACTTTGCCAGGAGACCTCTCAAGTCCAAGAAGGGAAGGCAAGGCTCCACACAAGAGGCGTGCACATGGGTCCGAAGACTGGCTACATCCTCCTTTCCAGTGCGTTCGTGCCAGGGCTCCTTACGTTAGAAAATGCTTACTTATGTGGAGGAAAAGGCACCCGACTGGCGCGCTTTGCTTAAGACTCCGTCGCTCATAGTTCCCCTCGCAACTGTGCTCGGCCATAGCAGGCACCGCAGGTGTAGAAAAAGAGTGCCACTACGAGTCGCTGGGGCCTTCGATCTGCTGGAAATTGTGCTGCTGCGCGAGGTTCACCGCCAGCTCCCACTGGTTCAGCAGGACACACCTTGGAGGCAAAAAACATCTAATGACCGTTGTGGCAATTGAGATCAGAGGCTGGGATGGAGCAGGCTAAAATCCAACGCTGGAAGCTCGACATGACAGGAATTCGCTGCCCAGCGTTTATGCCATCTCAAACCCATCACCATGGGCCCGGGCGTGTCAACCGCCGTCTTGACGTCGCCGTGCCGCAGATAGGCCTGGACGGCCTGACGGGGGTCACTTGAGGTTCGGCCAGAGGACGCGGCCTCTTGGGCCCGGCCCGGCCCCCCCCGCGGCCCCGCTGTCCTGCTCGCAGAGGCCCACGGAGCTGAACTTGTTGCCCACCTCCGTCAGCAGCGGGCTGCCTGAAGGCGCCGTTTTCAAATTCGGACTCAAGGGCTCGGGGCTTGGAACATAAAGAGCAGCAAAACGCCGAAAGGAGAAGATGGTAGCAGACCGTCGCTTATGCTGGATTTCGGATCACGAGCACGTCATACATGTGTATAAAAAGCGAACCACCATCCATCTATCCCTCCGTCCGTCCCTCCGTGCCTCCGCCCTTTGTCCCTCCGTCCGTCCCTCGGTTCGTCGTCCATCAGTAGTACATTCCATCCCATCCCATCCGATCCCGTCCCGTCCGTCCATCTAGCGGTCCACATGTGGTTGTGCGCTTTGCATTCTCGGCCTGCCGCAACCATTTACCTACCCATCGATCAATCTAACTCTCTATCTATCTACCGCTATCTTCCTGCCTACCTACTATCGCTCCAACTACCAAGACATCCGTTGATATCTGCCTATCTGTCTATTTGTCTATTTACCTGCCTACCTACCTCCCTACATAGTTATCTGTGTACCGATCTAGCGATCGATCTACCAATAGAACTAGACTACTTATCTTTCGATCAATATCTATCTATCGAGCTATCGCTTTCGACATATCTATCTACGAGTTTATCGATCTATCGACCTACCATCTATCCGCCTGTCGGTCAATCGATCTGTCGATCCGATCATTCTGTCTAGCTACTTACACTTATTGACCTCTCTTGCTTTCGCCAGGTCTAGAGGGAATGCCGCCTGTTCCCACATTAACATGGAGAAGCTCTGAAGGAGAGAGCTCACACTCGCGCAGACGCAGGGCAGTGTTCCAGCCTTCCGGCAGCTGCGGAATGAGTCTCTCCAAGGAGTCATAGTCCTGCAGGCGCGCAGTTGCCAGCGAGACAAGCTTTCGAGTGCAACATCCGGAAGAGATGAGATGCGGGTTGTGCTGCGTCTTATGCCCCGGCTCCTCCAAGAAATAGTAGGTGTCCACCAGAGCAGCGTTGTTCCCCGCCTGCATGCCGCGCTCTGAAAGGTTTCCGGCTGTTCGTGCTCGCACCTTGCCTTGGCGTAGTAATTGGCCGCGTTGGGCCACCTCAGACCATCCAACAGCCAAAGCGATCTCGAGCATCACACGTGCTTTCCCAAAAAACTCTCCTCTCTCTCTAATTACGAGTGACTTGCAACGGTCGGCGTAGTAGTCGCCGATGGCGCTCCATGCTTGGTGAAGCAGCTCCTGGCCAAACGATTCAGTGGCCGTAAGAGGCTTTGCGAACGGCTGGGCAACGTCCTCGTTGGCACCATGCGCCAACTGAATGACTCGGAACCAGTCACCCAAGCGTACGCGAAGATCGATCGCGAGGTCCTATGCGAGGGCCACTGAAACTGTGAAACCGTAAGGCTTGAGCGAGTTCGCAGGCTTATCGGGAGTGTTCTAAGTGACATCCTGACAGAGCATCAGAGCTCTGGCCTTGCGGTCGATTTCCCTGTACAAGCTCTCAGCCTCATCGAACCGTTGAAAGTACGCCGCGACCTCGCAGGTTGCAATTTCACTGCACCTGCGCACATGCCTAGTTTTCGGTGACCTACACTGCACAAAATCGCTCACTCCCCCTCAGACCATGTCTCTGCCACGCCTCGGCCTTCTGCTTGACCCGGTCGTCCTCGCAGGACTGACATTGGAGGCTGCTACGGTGTCCTTCGACCCAAAAAAAACGCATGGCATGGACATCAGGAGCTGTCCAGAAGGCGGAGGCGCTTGACGAGCTGGATGCCCTCAGTTTCGCTGAGACTGGAAACTCAGGCACAGCAGCTTCAGCTCCAAAGGCCCTGCTGTGGTCCTGGCCTGGTAGTCCTCGAAGCGCACGAAGGCCTTTTCGGCCACCCCGAACTCAAGCTGCTCCAGAGCTGCCTCCGCCAGCAGCCTGAAAGGAGCGCGAAAACCCTCCATTGCTCCATGCTGAGACAGAGTGCGGCGGTGCAATCTGCTTTCTGCTTCTCCTGTTCCCGTTCCGCATAGCTTTCGCTCTGATGGCACGCGTTATCTTTGCAGCAGGACTTCCTCATCGGGTGGACCGACCTTGCCCTAAGCCAGGCAAGAAGAACGCCCAAAACACCGTGAAATCCCGCTGTTGCCCAAACAAGGGCATCCAATCTGAGCTGGTGTTCTGAGGCCCACCCGAGGCCAACCCGCCAGAGTCCCAGAGGCAATCGTCTCACAAAGGCCGAGGAGCCCGAATGACTCCACGAAGAGTGTCCGGTCTAACCATTTTCTTGTCATCTGCTGTCTTTTTTCGGCTCTCGGGACGAGTGGGATACATGCGGGCCCTCACATTAAACATGAGACTCTTGCAGTCGCATCCGACAGTCTGCTAGCGTCCACAAGACATCCTTCTGTGCAACCAGGTCGGATGTGAAAGCCTATGAACCTGCTCTCGGCAACATACGATCGACTTGCCAAGTCTGACATCAAGAAGAGCAAGGATGTCTCTGTCGTTTTCTTGGGTGCTGCAGCTCAGGGAAATAAAAAAGGTGCGCCATGCGTGGCCAGCACAGGGATTCAAATTTGTTGAAAGTTCTGCCATCGTAATTTGGAACAGGCACCAAGGCCCCAAGGAGCACTGAACACCAACTGCAAACTTCATGACATACAGGCAAGCCCTGCATGATTCTCATCTGAAACAGCCGCCTGTGGTCCTTTTAATTGCATGCATTTGGGGCTTCTCACCCCTATGCATGGGAACCGGAGGCTCACAGAAGTCTCCACCACAGACCTGGCAACATGTTGCACGCGGTTCGCATGCAGAACCGGGGTTGAAAATCATACGAAGCTGCTAGGGCTGCTAGGGACCAGGGACGCCCAGGTAACACAATGTCTGCGATTTGAAAGCTCCGCAGCACGCGAAACGGCCTCTCGAGACATGAAACCATCAATTGGATGGTGTCGGATTCAGGGCCAATGAAGGAACGACCTGACGTCAAACCAAAAAAACACCCGACCCGACGCTTCCAGAGTGCATCAATGGGCTGCTGCACTGCTTGCGATGGCTCAGAGATAAAGAAATGAAACCAGCGTCGGCCTGGTGCGCAAGTCGCGGCTCTTGGACTAGTGACTAGTGTTTCCCCAGCATCTTCGCGGGACCTGAAGCCAGGAAGCCGAAAGTGCTTTGAGCTGCAAAAACAAAGAGAGCTTCCAGGCCTGTGAAGGGGCTGTTGAACAATGCCTCTCTGGATCGAGCTTTCTGCTCCGCCTCCTGCTGCTCTCCTCGCAATCCAACTGCATGCAAGGATCTTGACTACCACAACCTATGTATGTGCCTCTTTGCCGGCCAGACGGCCCGGGACTGCATGCACAGGTGTGAGAGTGTGGATGCATGTGCGGGCGGCGGTGGATGCGGGATGATGTAGCGGTTCCGGAACAAGCAGTGCGCTAACGACATGTCAGCCAAAACTCCTACTACGGTGCGGTGGCTGCTTTTTGGTCGTAGCGCATAAAGCGCCCGGCCGAGCACACCGCCCCTGAACCGGTGCCGGGGCGCATACTTCTGCGCCCACCCCGGGCAACCGCCCAATGACGCGGGTGTCGGCCGTCTATGGTCGGTAAGTCAAAGGAACCACGCGGGGTGGGCGGGGTGGCGAGGGTGGGAAGACGAAAGGCGATCGAGCCAGCAGGATGCTGCGGCGATCGCTGCTGCTTGTTCCTACGCACACACGTGTGCTACACAACAAGATGTGAAGTGATGCAGGACCACGCATGGTGACGTGCGATGACGTGCGGAGTTTGCCGACACCTTGCACACGAAATGTCGGCGCACGTGCCGTCTTCGAACCCACTACTCAGACGACATGCGATTGTCTGCTGAGCCACTCTGCTTCTTGCCGTGCTCGCTCTGCAGCTGCTCAAAGTGGGCCCTCCTCTGCCTGTCCATCTCCTGACATGACTACGACATGAAGTCTGCACCAGCTTCGAGTCAAGTTGGGGCCGGCTTTGCCTTGCGAACAATGCCGCTTAGACTTACATTATCCCATCAGCGCTTCAAATTTTGCAACCTCGACGATTACGTGAATCAACTTCCGAGCTCTAGAGCTAAGTCAACTTGCCGGGACTGTCCATGCCTGACCTCATCACTGTGACGCGCCCACAACAATGGCAGCATCAAGCTCATGGCCTCTTTGGTCATGGGACTGGAGGAAAGGACGCCTGCGCGTGAGAACTTGCAGGATTCCATTCTCGAGCAGGGGCAAAGCTGTGCGTGAGAGTAGCAAGAAGTCTCCGCATCTAATCGGGGCCTCCAGACGCCTTTGAAACACACTAGCCCGTCTTTGGATCTACACGAAGCGACATTTTTCGTCAAACACCTTCCCGGAGCCTGATCCTGTCACGGACCCAGCTTCTGTTCGTGGCAGCTGTGACTGTCGATGCGTTTCAGACAGTTCCGCATCCTTAGGACCCACAGCAGTCCCTCGCGCGTTGAAGTGTTTTCGCTTCTGCCTAGCAGATTCGTATTGAGCTGCTTGATGCAAACCTTGCGAATATGGCCTATTGCCCACCACGGCCACAAGGTAAATACAACGCTCTGCGAGACCACGCGTCTCCCTTCTTCATGAGGAAAGACTTGCTTTCTTCCTCTTCTTGGGCGGCCTGCACGGCATCGGCTTGACACACTCTGGAAACATCTGACAAACAAAAGAGCACCAACGTCTGAAGTTTGCCTGCCTGCCGTTCCCGCATGGCGGCTTGCATTTCTTGCAATTGCTGCAGGCGGGCGAAGTGAACAAGCGCCTGCACGGACCCATGCTGCATCCTGCGATCACCAAAGACCCATTCTCTGAGCTCTTGGTGCTTGATGCGTGGCGTCCAGTATACTCTTCTCAGGTGTGATTTGTGGGCCTAGCACAGCCCTACTTCACACAGAACTCTGTAGGGAAACTTGCCAAGGATGCTCGGGAATGCCGACATGAGTTGGCCTCGCGATCCCCGCTCCCATTCTTCTGCCCCGCCTGCAAATCTTCGGCCGGCCCTTGACAGGGAAGCAACACTGGTGCGGGCTGCTTGCAAACGCTTCGCTGAGAGCCTGGGTAGCCGCCGGCCAAGGGTTGATGAGCAGGCCACATGTCGGCGTCACCTGTCAACAATGTTAGCTACACGAGCGAAACGGGAACGGAAGGGCTGCACAAGCCGTTGAAGGAGAACATTGCCACATGCTCTCATGAACAGCATTGAACAGCCGCAGCCATAGCCCCGGCGCACCGTCCGAAAGACCTGCATGGCGCATGAGCTGCGACGTGTTCCTGGCAGCACACATGCATGCAGAGACCAGGTTCATCACAAAACAGATGAGCGACTTCAGTTACTCGTGTTGCCCCGCCCTTCTAAGTCCGACCGCCCTGTCAAACGGACTCCGAGAGTGTTCCACAAACACGATGCAAGCAGGGACATCAGTGCATGCGTCGATGCATGCACAGCATCGTGCGCGCTCGAGCACACGCTTTACAGGGTGAATGCTGTGCCACCACCCAGCACTCTTAGGGACCGTGTGGATCCGTTTGGACAATGTGTTGGGGTCCAGATTGGCATTGTGCAGGCGCAGGTCGGGATCAGATACTGATGCGTTTATCATGCAGACCCATCGTCTGCATGCTGACCTTCCATGTCGAGAACACGGGCCCAAACGCACATTCTGTTTCAGACGCTTCCGACTCTCGGAAGCACACTCCCATGCACTCCCATAATGTGCCATCCATGCGAAAAGCATCCAACAATAGCGCCCTAATGGTCGTAACGTCAATTCTGCATCACTTTTGTCTCTTGCATTGCTTGCGATGTCGGGCTGCTCCAAACTGTCGGGCCTCGATTGCAGATTCTCCAACCGGCGCTGCTCGTGGAGACCGTTCTGGATCATTACCATCTGACGCTTCAACTCTGCATTCTCCTGTTCCTGGAAGCGCAGGAGGCGATAGGAACCGAATGGACTGTCCAAAATCGGTTAGGAACCTGGGGTATAGGATGGACATGGATGCACACACGCCGACTTCATGCAAAAAGTACCTGGCCGTTGGCCGCCATATAATCAGACGACCCTTCCACTAGACAAGATGCCATGCGTTCAACATCCTCAGCAATCGTCATGAGATCTTCAACCTGACAGCGACAGCTGACTACGAGCAAGCCTTTGCAGCCTGCGAAATGCTCTCAAAGTCGTCACTGACTGGTCCACTCCATTGGGTGCCTGCTGCGGAGGTCCTTTGGCTGAAACCTCAGCTGCTGGCAGCACTGGAACCGAAGTCGTGCTTTGCAGGTTTAGGGTGGTTTGGACAAGCAGCTAGCTGCTTGATGGCCTCTCTCAAAGCAGCAGTGAGGCGGCACTCGCCTGCAGCTGGTCAGAGGTGTCAGAGTCAGCACCGGTCAGCACCGCGGTACCGGCAGCATCCGGCAGCCAAGGCGCTGGAGGTGCTCCGAGGGCTCAGAGCCTCAAAGCGGCGAGAGACTGCGTCGCTGCACTGCGGCTGTGACCGCTGCTGCCCAAGCTGCTGGAGCCTCCGCTGAGTCGGCATCAAGTGCAAGCCTTGGACGAGCGCCAGATGACTCGCGCCACTCTGGCCTCTTCCCGCAACAAACGATGGACCTGGACGCTCCCTGACGCACTTTCCGAGTTGAAGCCCCGAACCTGGTCTTCCTCTTGGTTGAATATCAGAGCGGCCCTACATGGCTTTGAGATTGCGGCCAGGTGTCGAGTCGACGCAGCTCATGGCAGCAGACTCAGCACCGACTCTACCGCCGTTGTCAGCCATGAGGCCCTCAAAGGCTGTGGGACCCGGGTGATCGGCGACTGCAAGGAGCCCCTGCTTCTTCCATCCAAGCTGCCAGTCCAGGCTCGATGATACCCACGGGTCTCTGCTTGATGACGGCGGTCAGAAGTGACCCGTCCGTGATTCCGAGCCTCTTGCATCGCTGACATCTCCACCATGAGTGGTCTGGCACAAGCTACGTGCAAACGAGAGACTCGTCGATGACGGCATCTGTTTCCCTCAGGTGAGCGATGCCAAGTGACGGAGCAGGAAAGCCCGTAACGGCGAGAGGCAACAGACACAAAAAGCTGGCAGACAAGTCCGAAACGACCTGAGACTCCCTCTTCATGAGATGCTCCTGCATTGATCATCAAGCCAAGCTGCAACTCGTTCCCTTGAAACGAGAGTATCGGCAATGAACCCGGAAATGGCAGGGCCTCTCCAAGTTCATCCCACTTTCTTGCAGCAGCCCGAGCGTTTTGGACAACAAACAATATTCGTACTGCATTTTCAATCTACTCCATGCTGCCTGACATAGATGGAACACAGTACTAGTAGCATGATCCATCATAATATTGCGAGCCAGAATGTGCTTCAGAGCTGTCCAATCGCCTGGCTCACTTGCGCTGCCAAATGGAAAACCTCGCAAATCAGCCAGGCCGGGCATCAACCACAAAGACTCAGTTTTGCATCACACCTGCATAGAATGCGGCCAAACGGCCGTGCTCTTCGAGGGCACCGCAATCTCGATGGTGTTTTCTGGACTGGTCTGCACACGAACCTCAAAGGGATCAAACCCGAAGTTTCAAAGACCACGGATGTATGGATTGATTTACTCCTACTTCAGCTGAGCCGCCGTGATGCGCTGCTCCTCACCAGCCCCAGCCCCTTCGACGACGTCTTCCATCGGTGAGGACATTCCTGCAGTCATGAAATGCCAGCCCGGCCTTCAACGATCCGTCCCTGCGGTCCCGCCTCGCTGCTCGGCCTTCTCCGCGTATCCAGGTGTACGCGGTGTACGCCGTATGCCCCCCCTTTGCCCGGCTTGCCCTTGATCCAGCTGGCCGCGGTCCGGGTCACAGACGTCGACGCCCCTCGGCGTGCAACCCTCTTGAACCCTCGAATCCCGAACGCCCTGTCGTCCTATGACTCGCTTCGAGTTCAAGCCATCAGAAAGAGGACAGAGCATGCAGAGATATACAGAGCAGCCAGAGCAGCCATCAGCCTCCAGAGCCGCGGGTGTGGATTCGCATCGACCTCGGCGCGGGTTCGGCCATCCCAAGGCTCCTTCCGACTACCCCCGCTGAGCATGTCCGGGGTCCTTACATAGTTGAAGGCATCTTTTAGGTTGGACACCTGGCGGAGAACAGGAGACGGTGCTCACGTCAGGGACCCCTTTACAGGACCTTCGTGAGGATGTCGCGCGTGTCTCTGAGACTCTTGGTCTCGAAATCCAGGAGAACCTGCAACTTTACGGAAAGCCCAAAGGCCCAAGTCTTTAGTGCAAAACAGCTCGGCATCGGCCTCCTTCCGGGGATTCTCCGGGTTTTGTATGACCTCCACGGATACGAATTTTCGTCTTGCACTTTTCAAGCGGCGGAGGACTTGACATGCAGTGTCTGGGCAACATTGTGACCAGAGCCGTTGTCCAGCAGCAAAGTGAGTGCGCCAGCACCAGTAAACGAGCAGAGATGTTGAGTCTGAAGTCTGAAGGCTGTGACGAGTGCCTCGTCGATGAGCACACTTTGGATCTGGAGGTCTTTGAAGGCGCAGATGTATGCGTTGGAGAGCACGGGCTCCTGGAGGGATTTGGAAACGGGAAAAGAACGCGCCTTTGGCACTCGGCTGAGAAGAGACAGTCCTCGGGCTGAAGGCCCCGGACCTCGGGACTCGGCTTGCAGCACGAACAGACCGGCAGGCGGCAGACCCCACGCTCTGGTGCAAAAGCAGTTCGTCGCCGCTCGATCTGCTATGCAATCTTTCGAACAGGCCCGATACGAAAGAAGAAGCAGACAGCAATGTGATGACCGGAAGAGCCTTCGCAAACCAAGGCTTGTGCTATGTACATCCGTGTTTTCTCCATGATGGCAAAGAGGTCCGGATTGTCGGTTGCCCATCGCATGTTCCAGACCTCATCGCCAGAAGCATCGTAGCTCTCCGAGTACATGGTTGGAGCACACCAGAGCACGAGAGCACGGTGAGGCTTCAGCATCCTTGCGCTCGAAGTCCAGCTGCTTGCCAGGCCCATTGTCCTGCATCAAAGTAGAGAAGAAGACGAGCGAGCGAGGGAGGGAGAGGGGGAGAGAAAGATAGAGATAGAGAGAAAGAGAGAGAGAGAGAGAGACAGAGAGAGAGAGGGAGATCGAGATGCTCGTCTTTTTGTCCGCTTCGCAGCAAGACGGGTGACTAGTACATCAGCAGGCAAAAGCTTGGGCAAGCTCGAACATCATGTATGCACTTGGAAGCTTATGGAATGAGTCAGGAGAGCAACTCGCCCCAAAATGCCCTCATGATGGTGAGATTCGCTGATTGCGAGTCAGGTCAGCACTCAGATCAATCATAGCTCGGGGTTCGGCCCCATTTCACATTAAGCTCCAATCACAAAGCAGTCCGTAAAACCCCTCACGAGGAATTGCAGCTCTGAAGCTCTGATTGAGCGAAGGGAGGATGAATCATTATAGCGATTCCTTCTGTAAGTCCGATAAACACCGAAGTTTATTCCGTTGGTTTGTGGCCCTGTCCCCACCCACGGATAGCGCGAGAAACCCCTCACTGCACGGGAGTTCAGGCCGCCACTGGCATCACCTGAATATGTGGGTGGGTCAGGCTTTCCCTTGCTGTGCGCCTCTCCGGTGCGCTTCGGGGCAATTCGAGCCCCAGTCTATAGGCCAAGCAGTGAGAATGAAACTTGAGGCACAGGCCGGGTTGGTCTTCAGCTGAATCAGAAGACTCCTGGCATGGGCTGGCTGTGGCTCGGCGTGAGGACTACATCGAGCGCTCCCCGCCACCACTCTGATTTGTCGACTTTCCGAAATCAGCGGCAGGAGCGGCCTTAGGCGCGAGGTATCGCGGCTGTCCTGCGTAGAAGTCAAAGGGGAAGCAGGTTGACCAAACTATGCTGCTAAACTAGATGGGGTTTAGATGGGAAACGATCTGCCGAGACATGCGAAACTTTTGAAGGACTGTTGGCTTCATCAGAGAAACAGAATGTCGAATATCTGGACCCAGCCTCTGCAGCCTTTGCATTGGTGTCGATGAGCTCACATACACCTCAGCTTCAGCTACGAGTAGAACACAGCGTCCTGCAGCTCTCTTGATCCTTGGATGCTTTAGATACAACCTGCTACGATTAATTCAGTCTGGGTACGTTCCCACGGGTTGGCTCCCGGTTTGAGTGCCTTGCATGTGGCTGGGGATTCTGGCATGTCTGAGCTCTTGTGGCAAGAGTCTAAGAGACAAGGACAGCAGACGACACTGGCAACTCTGCTACGACCAGCCTCCTCCCTTGCCTTCTCTGAGGTCTCCTCGTTGGTTCGATTCGACGCCTTCAGCAAGGTGCTGGGCTTCTTTCATTGGCTTGGAGAGACGATACGAACAGCATCCTTCAACATGTCGGGTCCGTCCACGGATGTGGTCTTGGGCGAGCACCATTCGTGTCTTCCTTGTTGCCACACGCTCCTGCAAAGCGTTCGATCAAAACGTGCTCGGTACAGCATCAAGTGGATAGCTGCGATGAAGGTGACAATCCGAGAACTCCAACATCCAGCTTCCTCGTTCCACTTCTGCAGCTCGGCCGTAGCATTACCACGGCGCTGCTCCTTCTCCTGCGCCTGGCGTTCAGGACACGTAACGTGACACGACATCTTTGCAGCAAGTCTAAGCAGACATGTAAACATCAAGCTCATGAGGCATCCAAGAGCAGGCTATAGGCTGCTAAGCGAAGCAAGGCTGACCTCCTTGCGTGCCATCTCTTCCAGATCCTTCTCGTGTTTCTCCTTGGCCGGGAGAGAGCCAAACCAAGTCTTCTGCCCCGGGCATAAGCGGTTCTGCGAAAACTCTCGCGTCCTCCCACTCTCGCAGGGCGTTCATCTCCGGGATGAGCGGAGTGGCGCCCACCGGATCCTCTACAACTCATGGATCTGCCAAGCAATTCTTCTCAAGCCTACAGACTTCCGACCGCTGCGGAGAAAGGGTTCCAAACTTTGACTGATGCTCCATCTGCGGCATCCGAAGTAGCCCATGCTCATGTTCACATGAAGGCACACGGGCCTTCACGGGGACGCCCTGAAATGGGTCCTGCACACCGAGCAAAAGTAGCAACACCTAAAAAGCCCATCAAGAAGCTGGTGCGTCGTTGACCGGACTACGCACGGCTCTCTCCTGGTAGGGTGCAGCAGGTGCCGGAGCAGATCCCATCATGTCCATTGGCGCGGCCTCTTTTTGAGGGGGCGCATATGCACAAAACGCTGGTAGACGCCAGGCTTGATGCCGACCTCAGCACCCCCGACGTGTGGCATGGGGTCGACGGGCGCCTGGACAACAGACCAGCACGAAGCACGAGTTGCGCTGTTGCAGTGCCACAAAATGCAACCAGCCTCAGCCATAGGAGGGGGCGCTGCCTGCATGGAGCAAAGATGCTACCAGAGCTGCGAGACCCCGCCCGAACGGGCTCGTGCCTCGGTGAATCCGAGAAGGTTGCTGCCATCGGCGCCCTGCGCTGCACGTCATGTCTCTCTGGGGACGTAGCAGTGCAGCGAAGAGCAAAAAAGCAGAGAAGCTGCGACGGTAGCACCGGCACCAACAGCAACGACGACGACGAACGACACCGACACCTGCTATCACACTGCTCGACATGAAGAGGCAAAAGCAAGTCCAGCTGTGTTGGATGGCAGTAGGGTAGGGTGTGCCTTCAACGGGCGAGCTGTCCAGGTGTAACATGTTTGCAAAGCACGCAGAGACTTGGTTTGCAAGATGGCTGCATGGAGCGCACAGAAACAAACACACTGACATTCAAACACACCGCGCTGCTGAATGGAATTTTCCCACGAGCTCTAACCTGGTCGTGCGTGCTTTGGGCCTCTTAACAAGGCTCTTAGAACTGCACAGTGCAACGTCGCGGCCGGCCTCCATCTTTCTGAAGCTGAAGGTCTCACAGCTACGGGCAGACAGCAGTTTGCTTCGAGCCAGAGAAGCATGAGCAGTGTGCACACTCGGCAGCTGCCTCTCTGAAGCCACTTTTGCCACTAGCTAGCAGCTACAAGACATTGCAAGCGGTCCTGCGAATTGGTCTCTGCTTGCTGGCTGAAGAAGCCATGGTTGACAATCTGTACCATGGGGACACATCATGCATGCAACCATACACCCGTCAGCGAACTCAATACTGCACCAAACTACGACCATGCTGCTTCGCCGGGGGTGCATGCAGCCCACCTCCACGTCGAACAGCAAAAGCACCTCAGACCGTGCCAGTTCGATCGCAGATTATTGTAACTGCATCAGAGGCTACAATTGTACAACAGCCCGAAAATGGCTAACCGCCCTGGAGTCTACCAGAGCAGCATTAAGACCCCTGCGCCATTGATGTCAATGACTGACATCCTGGTGCTGTCGCAGTTGGCAGCTATCACCTGCATGATGCAATGCAAATCCAAAACTCATGACTGCAATCCCCGCCTGCGGCCGACATCGGATGGTGAAGCGCGCTTCCAACGACAAGTGGGGCCTTACTGTGGAGATGCGAAGAAAAGGAGCCCTGCTAAGATGTCCCGAGTGTTCAGTGCAGTTCTGGCGGCAGAGCACGACCCCATCGTACCACTGCCACAGCCCACAGGCAACAGAGAGGGCCCGACAGGGCATAGCGATGCACCACACCGCTTTCGCGTGCCACCAGCAAGCATTGCTCTGTGGCACAGATGCAGGCAATCGGATCCTGCAAGCGACGATCATGCATCATGCAACTCAGATAAAGAGAGACGGTGTTCCTGCGTGGTCATCGAAGGCGGCACGAAACTTTCCTGGATACAGAACGGAAAAGCCATTCCGCGTTCTGGCGCTTGTCCATGATTATTTGCAGCGGTACAGCTTGTCATCACGCATTACCTCCGGCCTTGTCATGGGTCCCACTACCGGGTGCAAAGGACTCATCAATGTGAAACCTGCCAGGCAGCGAAGCTTACGGCATGAAGCCAGGTGACTGCAGGCACGGGCAACTCTTCGCTCAACAATGTCCAGCTCATGCCGCCGCATTTAGGAATTGTCGTACCCACATGTCTCTGCACCACAACAGCAGTCCATGGGAGACCGCTCACCCTGCGAAAAAACATGTCGGAGGCACATCATCTCAGCCCTCTTCCTGGCCACACTCCAGTGATGCACTGGATCTGGGTGGGGTCTGCGCGCACAAATATTAACATGGTTCCCGTCAAACAGGATGGGAAGTACTGCTTGATGCCCATTCCAGCGGCCGAAGCCAGGTCGCCCTGTGCTCAAGCGGCTACATCTGCGAAGAGGCGGAGTCGGAATCCACTTCCGTGCCATGCAGTCAACAAAGAGCTGCTCAAGCAACCCGTCACGCCTGTGCCTGCCGCGAAACACTAGTTCGGTAGCTCCAGATATACACGACGTCCTGAAAGCGAAATGCACCGGAGTATCAGAGTCGTTGACCAACGGCTCGCACCAAACCCAAGTGGATAAATGTTTCAAGGGTTGCATTCCCAGCTCGTCTGTCCTCCGAAGTTACGATGACGTGGGAGTTCGTCATAGCAACATGGACGGGGTCAAGCTGCATATACCTCACACAAAAACCGCATGCACGTCAGCTTCCGTCCAATCGGACACTGGCCATTTACGGGCATGCGTCGACTCCTGCAGCCGCAGTAATCACGCCGAGGGGCTTGGAGTCCACTGGACTGCCGATGTCATTGCACACAATGACCTGAAGCATCAAGCGTCGAAGATCCTTCAGAGAGCTTTACGCGCTAACCCTTGTCGATGTGCTTCTGACCGACCAGATGTCCACCACTGATCTTGTGAAAAATGGGACACTGTAGCGAGAGGTGAAAAAAAGGTTGTAGCTCTACGTGGATGAGGCCTTTCCAACATCTGGTCTTCGGACAATGTGCAGCCCGATGCTGCCTGCAAACCATGCTCTCCTAACACCCGTTATTTGCACAACATCCAAGGCTCCTGAGCCTGGCTGTGGATGCGAGAAACTCTTTGCGGGCTTAGCTGTTTGCAGTCATCACTGGACAAACCTTCAGCCCGCGGCAATGTGCTGGCCACTGGCGTCATCTGCCTGCACATCTCAATCACGGACAGAACAAGATCGATGGCTGCAACCCCGTTCGGATTCAGGTATTGACAAGGCTCTCGGTTTGGCATCACGATACTTCGACAATCCCAAACTTGCATCAGACGACTCTCACAACGGCTCTACGGGCAGTCTCCTGCAGGCGGAAAGCGAAGGTCCGTTTCTCGTGCGGCCCAAAGCCACAGACTGCGCTCAAACCCTGAAGCCTTGCGCTCTGATTCGCAGGGTTGGGAGGAGGCGGGGCAGGGGCACGACCCTATGGCCCGAGACAGGAGAACTCAATGGAGTCGTCAAAAGCGCTATCCGACCCACCGCACAGAAACATACCGCCCGGCCTTGGTGACCAGGACACAGTACTCCTCCGAAGATCTGATGTGCCTCACAAGGACGTACCAGGGCGGCAGAGCTGCGACACGAGGGACACGAGCAGACAACCCCGTTGAGCCAAGGTGCGTGACATGCTTGATGTACTTGGTGTATTTCTCCTTGGAGAATCTTGGGGAGCTCTGAATGTAACGACTGCACTCACCACATGTCTGGCACTCGAGGCAGTTTACTCATAGCAAGGCTCGTCGCTATGGGTGTCCCAGAACACGACGACATGCTCGTTGCGCTCTTTTCGCAGCACCTGCAGGCAAGAAGCGCATCATACTCACAACTCGGCTATCCGACTTTTCTCAAGGCCACGGCTGCGTAGACCAGCGTTCGCGAGAAATACCCCCAAAGGTAGTCTGGCCTGCGCTCGATGCAACGAATCCTTCTCTGGCAAACTTCCAAACAAAGAAAAATGGCTCATCTCTCACACTGATTCATTGGCTCATACTCCTTTAGTTGGCCCCGGGCTCCGCCTGATGTTGGCGAAGAAAATGTGGGAATCAACGGCCAACGCTAATCGAAGGCCAGAACCTTGCGAGTCACGAAGTGTTGCGTTGAAACCCTCTACATTGAGACCGCAACCTGCGGAAGTTTCCTTCTTCGCTGAGTGCCGGAGCCCTCCCAGGAGATCGAGCGCAAATTCTGCCCAGGAACTCTCCTCGGTGCGATGAGAAACTCTGTTCGGGTGTCCCGAACGCACTTTCTCGGTGCAATCAAGCAGCAGGGATCTGAGATGCTGCCCACTCGGAGCATAAAACTGAACGATGCCCACCTGAGACTCAAGCAACGTGATCTCTTACCAGGCCGGTCGGCCGACCGTTTCCAATATAATATTGACTGACGTGCTGGACACACACGACGACTACACTCGTTCCAGGATAAAGCTCGAGGTGCCTTCGAACGACACTTCCCTGTGACAATTTTGAGGGAAGACGACAAGCTAAGGCCAACTTGCCGAAACAAGATGTCATAAGCACCCAAGGTAATTCGGAAACAAAGACGGAACAGTCACTGAGCTCGTCTGCTTGTCAATCTTTGTGTTTGCGGGCCTCGCGGTCGGCAGCGGCTGCTCCTTGGCTCTGCACGCCTGCGATGGCAACCTCTGGCCAAGCGAAGCTGAGTCCAAGGACTCAGGACCAAGGAGAACTTGCTCTTCCGTGCTTTCGTGCGACAATGCCGTCCGCTTGCAAGCAACTCAGCGCACGGCCACAGAGCCGTTCGGATCCCACTTGAGACCAGTGCATCGCCTAAGTCCAACAGAAAGACGTTGAGGACACGAAAGTGCACCCAGCCTCTTCTGACCTGCTCTATGCTATCGAGGCACAACTGTGTATCCAAAAGCACAGGCTTGTCATCGGCATCACCTAAGAGTGCCAGGCATGAAATGTAAATTCGCGATATGCTTCTACTTGTAGATGCGGTTGCGTCGCTTCTCATGATCTGGACTCGGCCGTTCTCGAAGCCCAAACAAAGAGCTGGTGTCTGCAAGAAACATCCAGCCAGGACTCAGCTACGACTAAGTCTGACAGAGCAACACCGGCATGCGCCTGGTTCTCTGGGCCATTGGGCCCGGCAAACCTACGGGCTCACGCAAGTCAAGAAACGGCTCAGTGGATTTTTCCCGTGCAGCCGAGGTACCAGTCAATGCCGGCAATCGCTACGGTGCCCTCGGTGCCACTGTCTAGGCCTGGCCACCGAAGGCTCGACAGGGTGTGACCTGCTTGCAGTCTTCTGCAAGAGTGCCGGGATGACAGTAGATTGGCACCTTGTGGGAATAGATTCCTTCATTGTCGTAGACGTGCACCTGCACAAAGCCACTTCTCCGCGAACCAGACAATCTCCGGGCCAAAGGCTTTGGCCTCGCCGTTGAGAGTGCAGAAGAGGATGTTCTTGCCATCCGGCGACCACTCTACAAAGGCGAGCTGTGTCTTGACCTCTGTGCGAAGCACTCACACCAGTAAAAACTTCCTGATAAATAGAGGAGCGGACTTCCTTACCCCACAGCCTGGCAGTGTCGCAGCAAATCCGAGAAAGAAAACACAGCGTGCAAGAACAACACCGACGGAAACTGCTGCATCGCTGCGTCCAGCCTTTGCCCATCCACAGTGCCCACTATAACTGCGCCATCCTCGTAGATGATGCATATCCTCAGGCCACAGGCCGTTGTTCATTGTCCTCTAGCCCAAGTGCGTTCCTCGAGCTGCCTCACACTGCACCCATTGAACTTCAGACCGCACCCAAAAACCGGGCTGGGCACTTCTGGCAGTCGGCACCTTAGGGTTCACGGCTTTGAGTCTGCCCCAGGCTCTCTAGAATCAAGGTCGGCGCACAAAAAGGTCCTACTCCTTTCCCAAGCATGCCTGATGCCTGCATAGCTGTGCAAACCAAAAAGGGGCTCCGGTGGACCTCTGTACTAAGAGAGATGTACGAAGCAATCGTCAGAAGCTCCGGTACTGAATGTAGGAGTGTCGCAACGGCTGCTCGGGTGCCCACTCCACTTCATGTCTCGAACTACACTCCGGTTTCGATTGTTGATCATTTCCTCGCAAGATTGCCGGGACAAGTCGGGCAGAAGTTCGGCGAATGTTCAAGCTCCAGCAATGTACAGTACAATGATCTTGCAACAGGTCCTCGAACCAAATTCCTCTATGGAGCATCCACACAATGATGAGGCCATTCCTGCCAGGGCAAGCAGATGGACCCGCAGTCTCCACATCCCACAACAGTCTATTCAGTCTATTCGGATCACGAGCCGGGTTCGTGGCTGGTCGCTGGTGGTCAGCTTCCGGAAATTTTCATTCCAGGTGATGACCATTATGGTACCTCGGGGCTCGACCGGATGAGGTCGACAAGATTAAATGAACAGTCGATTGTTTGCCGACGTGTGAACGCTGGGACAGTGAACCATATCTACGATGCATCCACTGCAGGAGCCTTGGTGGCCCTCCAGCGTCTGATTCATGGACAGGTTGCCTGCAGGCCAGGCGGAAACAGTGAATCGGCCGCCTGAGCTTACAACTTGCGTTTCTAGGGAACGAGGCGCCCTCCTGAGGTCCTGGCTTTGCCCGGCCGCAGCTTTCGCGGCCCCATCGGAGGCAGATTCGAGCTTTAAGACCTCTACGCAGGTCACCCTGCTTCTTCAGGGCAATACCGGTCAAACAAAGAGCTCAGAGCTCGTGAGGTTCCTCTGACACAGTCTTAGCTGCTCAGCAAACGCTGGATCGGCCTTAAGCAGGCCGCTCTCGCCTCACATGGACAGGGCATCTGGCATCCCATAAACTCAGCAGTGAAGGACTAGCTCCCACAGAATGATGGCCCATACCACATCATCATCAAACCCTTTTCGGCCCACAGTCACAAAACCGGCACACATCCTATCAGCTCAACCTCGAACAGTCTGCCGGGCGGGAGACAACCTGCCTCCGCAAGCAATCCATCCCTGCGCTGAGTTCCAAGACACCACCTGCAGACCGTCCGCTTGCAACATCGGCAATACTGAATATCGTGGCAAGCCAGATGCGCCAGGTTCAGCATCTTCGACATCACCCGCTGCTTTGAATGCAGACTCAGAGAAACACATGAAACACAAAGCCTGCAACGCCAGTTGGTGCGGTATCGCAATCTTCTTGCTCAAATAAACCTCATTTTCTTGGACTCTCCTCTGACGGGGCTTCTTGCGGTGAAGGCTGTGCTCACAAGCGGAGGACCCTGAGGTCGGGACGAACATCGTCTACGTGCAACGCAAATTAAAGCCTTGCGGAAGGAAGCCACTCGAGTTTTCTAGCTGTGAGGTTCAAGGATGGTCAAGGGCCAAGGGTCAGGACGGGTCAAGACGGAACACCGAGGCGAGCTTCGACGGTCTCTCACTCGGTGCCAGGCACGGACCATGCGCGGGGTCGCGCCTGCCGAGGTTCGCTTTTCCGCCCGGGCTGAAAATGCTCTGCTGCTGACATGCAGAGGAAGCCCCCGGCCTCCTGAAGTGGTGTGTGCAGGGCTCTGGGGTGCAACGAAACGACCACCAGTAAAATACGGTGTGAGGACTGGGAGTCTAGCTGCTGCTAGCGGGGACTCGAAGGGGCTGACACCCGCCCAAAGCTGAAAGGCTAAGTCTGCTCCAAGATCTCAGAAACGCAACCTTGAAACAGGGCATGAGCAACGGTTTCGAGCTCGAGGAGTCCAGTGATTTGTGTGCCACTCTTGTTGTGGCTATCCTGGGTTTCTATTCCTTTCCATTTCCTGAACCAAGCTGCGCAGCACGTTCGTGGACGTCGTGCTCATCTATCTCAGGAATGCAGAGAACCGAAGCTGCACCAAGTCATGTGTCGCAACTTTTCTCCACTACTCCACCAAGATCGTCCAGCTGGAGCATGTGCAGGCTCTGAACTTGAGGCAACGAAATTCGGGCTGGAGCAGGAACCTCGCCACGACGGCAACACGCTCTGGACTGATGAATCCGGATCAAAAACAGCAAAAAGCACTCAAAGACCGGCAAACCGCCTGCGCCAGAGCGAGCGCTGCGAAGACCCAGCGCCTGGAGCCCTGCACGAAGCTGAAGCCAACCAGGATGGTGCAGTCGCCTGCATGCAGAAAACGATCGATGTTTCCATTCCCTCCTAATCATAAACTGCATCCGGGCAGACTCAACGAAGCCGCGACTTAAGCGGAAAAAAGCCAAAGCCGTATGAAGCTCCGAGCAAAGTATCAACTGAATTGCCTTGCCTACCGAACTAATGCTGTGCCTGCTGCAAGCCGCAGCTCACCAACCAGGTCGAGGGCGAGTTGGAGCTGGGACGCCTAGAAGCATCTGGAAGAAGACTTCTGTCAGCGGCGGTGCCGAAACTGCGCGCCGTGCGCTCGATCATGGCCGAAACTCCAGAACAGCACGATATGTTCGCCCTTCTTACGCAGCTCCTATGCCTACGCAACGCATCTTCGGCAATGTGCCTCGAGCAGAAGGACGAGCTTTTTCTCGCCATTCCCGGCGTGCATTTGTAGCCACCGCACTGCCAGGTCCTGCTCTGAGCAAAATCCGCCCGGCAATACGGCTTTTGACCCCATCAGGCCTGCCAGCGCTTGCGCCATGCGATGGGGCCGCAGTCCTGCAGCCCACCGGCCCTCTGCCACCAGAAGTTCGAAACGAAAGACGAGAGGTCCTCCAGCAGGGCCAGTACACCTAAAGCAGGGAACTGGGCACATGCGGCCAGCATGGCAGACTGTATACAGTCGAAGCACGAGGCTTGGCCTGCTGTAAGCACTACCTCAGCTAAGCTCGGAACTCGTTCCTTGTAACATTCCGTCTGTTGCAGCAGAGCATTCCACTGCCTCTCGGAAACAGTATCAGGCTCATAGAATGGGTGTCTCAGCATTTCGTGCAACTGTCCATGCAGTGGCCTGCCTCGCGCTGTCGTCGCTGAAGGTCGCTAAGCACGACAGGATCATCACAAACACAGCCTGATTTTACCGCAACAAACAATTGGAAATCGACAGGGGCTTTGCCCATTTGTGCAAGCAAAACACACGAGAATCGAAGGCCAAGGGAGGCGAGTGCTTGGCGACGGTGTCTGAATGCTGAGCCCGGGGCAAATGAGACTACCATCCAAAGCTGCAAGCTCTGGAAGCAAAGTGACAAAGCCCGGCTCATGGATCAGTATGACGTCGCTGGTTTCATCGGCGACACCGCCTGGGCAGGCGTCCATGATGTGGTCTGAAGCTTGGCGACAGAGCCCGAGCCCGTCACTTTTTGCCAAAAGCTGCCGGAGTGCCGGCAGGAGCTGCCGCAGTCGCCGTCCCTCTGGTGAGGGAGCCTTCACGCGAGCCTCGTCCCAGCTGCCTCAAACATGCACAAATACTCAGGTCACGTCGACACGTCGGAAGCACTTGTTGATCCGACGGTGAGCCAAGGAACTGTAAAATTCCATGGAGGCCCCGGCAGCCTCCTGCTGTCAGTTTCTTTGATGGTTGCCTCCCGAGTTTTGGAGATCCCCGGTTGGTCACTTGTGCAGTGCTGGCATTTCTCGTCGTGTCTCACAGTGACAGACAGACGGACAGATGCGCCAGCTGGATTTGCCCCAATCCTTGTCCTCGAAACCAGGTTGATTCAGCAACGCCGGCGGCAGCAAACCTTCCTGCAACAGCATTTCGGATCGGCTCGTGTAACTTCCTGATAACAGGAGCGCTTCCCTGAGTCGTGTGTCCCTCTGATCTCGGCCTCCAACTTCAATGGCTCCCTCCCCAAACGAACGAAGACAGCCTTGGCTGCAGCACCACTCGCTCAGACAGCTGAAGCCTGCGCAAAGATTGCAGAGTCCTAGCCGTGCAGATCAGTGCACGAGGCGGGAGTTGTTCGCCGTGAACTTCATGACGGAAGCGGCCGCGACATGATATCCGTGCCGTGAACAAGCCTCGCAAAAGGATTTGCTTTGCAAGGCTGAACTATAAGCTGTTTGGGCTTGTCCTGCTTGCCGACAAGCGTCATGTCTCAGGCCAGCCAGGGTCCAATCGACAGCACTGCCCAGCCAGACTTCGGCTGTTGAGACATAGGCCACAGTAACCTGGGGAAAAAGACATCTCCCACGACAGGATATATCCAAGGTGCTAGAAGTGAAGGTTAAGCTTAGAAGCTGCCAGTAGCGCATCAGTCGAAAGCAGCCGCAGGCCCAGCAGCTCATTGAGATGCGACCAGTCAGCGCAGCTGTGAAGCCTTCTGGGCTTAAATTTCTCGAGACAACAGCGGGGTGCAGGAACCACTTCAGTTGTGCGGCTGCATTGATGTGCAAGCCCTCCCACCATCGTAGCCTGTAGTTCGTTGAAGCACGGCCCTAGCGGCTAGTGGCAAATTTTTTCAGCGCATCAGTTCTTCGACGAGGCTCCGAGCCAGGCGGCCGCAAAGACCTCCCGCGGAGCGCCGTCGGCCAGCTGCTGCAGGTAGTCCTGCACGAGCTGACGATGGTGAAGGCATCAACGGAAACTGTTGCGCCCCGCGGGGATGTCCAGCAGAGCAGCTCCCGAGAGGACGCCAATCGCTCGTCCGTGGAGAGCAGCTGCAACCAAGGCCTGGGCGGACCCGCTGCACATACGGCCCAGAGCAGTGCCAAGTGCCAAGGCAGTGCAACACGCCTCCAGCTGGTCCGGCAGCGACGAGAGCACAGCGCACCCGCATGCTTCCAGGGCTTGTGTGACTGGCAAGAGCTTCACCTTTGATGCAGCAGCGATGGCATCATCATGCATCCATTCGGGGCAGGGAGGTCGTCATTAAGACTAAGACTAAGAGCCAGGCGGATTCAAGGGCAAGAGCTCTTTTGCCTCTCCCGGCTGCGGTGGCAAAGGCACCGGCGGCGAACCTGCACGACTCCGATAAGCTCGAGCCGTGATTGCGTACACTGCCAGCGCCTCAGAGCCCTTGCCAATGGCAGCTCGAGGCCAGCAGCCAAACCACGGCCCACGCACCAGTGATCGCCGGGCACAAAGCTGCCAGGGGTTCAAGGCTGATCATGACGTGATAGAGTTTATAAAGAGTCGTTTGAGTTCGTGATTGTACCGATCACTGGACAGCCCTGTTACAGTATTGAGTATTGCCTTGCTGACATGGATGCTTGTCCGTGCTGGGACCTAGCCTGAGTCCTTCTGCAACGGGCGTGCAGGCTGCAAGCGCTGCAGCTTCCGCATCAACGACGAAGGCTGCAAGCACCATGGGAGTGGGTGCTTTGTACTCCACGATCCCCAGGAGTGCTACCTTCAGGCAGGCTCCCGTAGTGAACTGCAGACGACACTCTCCACCCACTGGCCTGCTGCTGCACCTCCCGTGCTGCAGCGCGCACACAGAGAACCAGGCCGTCCGCCAGCTCACCCCTTCAACCGGGTGAGTGCTGTGTCGATCAGCCGCTGTCACAGGCAGAGGCTCAAGATGGCTGTGAAGCGGTCGCTGCCTGTAGAGTCTTGCCGCACCGCGCTCCGAAACCGTCACGGCCAGCACACACCGCGGCCGAAGAAGCGAGCCAGTGAAGAGCGAGCGCAAGTCCGCCTGCCTAGAAAAAGACGAATGTGAAGAGGTTCAGGCATTCTGCAAATATGCGTATTGGCTGCAGCACCTTCGTCGACCAGGGGATGACCTTGCAGTTGCAGGGATTCTGTAGATGAATCGCGATACAGAGGCAGGCAGAGGCCCAAGCCCAAGGGTGCCGCAGTAGTCGAGCCATACAAAGTCGAAGCCCTGACACCGAGACCTGGCATGCATCCCAGCACCTCGAACCAGTCCTCGAACCTGTCTGACACGCCCTGACAAGGGCACCACAGGGGCGCCTGAAGGCCTTCAGCTCAGGGTCGACATCGTCGCTCCCTGTCAGCCAGGCCTCGGGAGCGGCGGGCGATTGTCATCCACAGCCCAAAAGAACTTCGAAGACGACTTTCAGCGCTTGCAGCCGAAGATCTGCCAGTAGCTCGTGAGTTGTGCATGGGACAACACAGATTCCAGGGGCGGCTTGCCGTATCGCGGCAGACTCCTCCCCACCTCAAGGACTTCACCAAGAACTCGAGCTCGCACATTATTCAGCCATTGCGGATCAGGCCGAGCAGCTGGGGTTCGGTACGACGGTCGAATCCTTAGCGCTTCCACCCACTCCCCGTCACGAATTTTGTGATACCACGCATCTTTAACCATTCCTTGTGTGTCATCGTGTGGATCCCTGAAATCCTTGAGCAGTCGTTGCGTGATCGTTCTGGTTGCTGCTCGCATCGGATTCCCAATTGCCGAAGCGAGCGCTATCTCTCAATGCTACTGCCTGTTGTTCTTCGGCGATGCGTGAACAGAAGCTTGCACAAACACACCTCTTGCAGTCCGGTCTATATCCATCTTTCTTTCGTTGGGTTTGGTCCGAGGCGGATTGATGGACTTGTTCATTTAGGAGAGAAGCACCCGCACCCTTGACCCATGCATCCGGCTTCAGAAAAGTGCTGTGTCTCCGTCTTGCTCTCCCTCTCGCCCTGATACGTCCTATGTGACGATGCTGAACCTTTCCTTTTTGCTTTCATGCCAGGCGTCATTCGGTGCATGTAGGCCGGCTGCGCGAAGGGCCGACAGAGTCTGGAGCTCGCGGGTCTCCAGCAGCAGGCTCCAGACCGAGTCGCTGTCGGCGCTGGATGCTCGACTGCCTGCATTGCAAACGCAGAACCGACGAGGCCCAAATCAATACTTCTTGGCCTGTCAACTACGTTGAGCATCTTCGGAGTCCTTCGAACTGTGATTCCTTCGACCCTCTACGATCACAGCACGGAGGATTGTACTTCTCAAATCTTGTCATGTGTCGCTCACAATGCTAGCACAACTTGGTCAAGACGTGACAAGACCAACTGCTCTGCCGAAACCGCCTTTGTCGGAATGCAATGCTCTAACCATGACTCTGCAACCAAAGCAGTGGAGTATCACCTGCAGATCGTAACTGGGAGGCCTCTGACCAGCTCGGCCAGCCAGTTGTTGATGGCCGCTTTCGTCGCATTGGAATAAGTCTGGCGGGAAAACCCTGCCAGAGTCAATCGTGCGAACGGTACCAGTACAGGGCATGAGTTGCTTCGCCACACCTGCCAGACGCTGCCTGCTACGATCGGACGTGGTCCCAGAAGATTTGCAGCGATCCGCTCCAGGGCAGCCGCGTGTGGCTGGAAGCAGCCAGCCCCAAGGGCAGAACTGGTCTGTTCACGTGAACCATGGACTTGCCTTCTGCACCTACATCACCGCAAATTTATGCTGGCATGATGCCGTTGCTGGTTGGAAGCATGATGTGGCTGTCTGCTCAGTCTGGGAAAAGCTTCCCCCTCTATCCTCAACTGGCATGCTGGCAAGGAGCCAAAAAGTAAAGATATGTAAGGATAAGCAAGCTGGTTATCTTCTCCTGTCCCCTGAAAGAACGACAGCTTTCCTTCCACGAGACAGCCAAGCAGACTCAACAACAAAAAGAAAGAGACCACGCCGCCCTCTGCCAAACCTAGAAATAACTTGATGTGTTCCTGTATTGGTCCTCTCTGCGTGAGCTTGGATGGTCTTTTACCCTAGCATCCTGCCCGCCGGTGCCAGCTGGCCAGGCCGCGCCATGCACGCTATCGCTTGCATGAAGAATGTACCTGCGACTCCTCTCTAAACACGACCCGCACCGGCCCATACCACGCGCGGCCGCTGCACCGATGCAACAGCAAGGTCATCGATGCTTCGAGTCGCTCATGTGCGCACGCTCATGTGACTCATGTGTTTACCGATGACTGGTGAAGCGGACAGTGAAGGAACCGGAAACAGAGACGAGCAGGCCAACAGACTGCTCAAGGATGACCGATATACGATTTGCGTCTTTTTCGTGCAGGGGGGAACGGCGAGCGACAGCTCCTTCGTCCCAGGATTAGTAGCCTGTGCCAGAACTGCAGACAAATTCAGGTGCAACAAAGCACAATGTTTACGTGGATTTGTATGACAAGCGAACAGCTCCCACCTCCAACCCAAGCCTCAGTTTCGGCACGACCCTTTCTGTCTATCAGTCAAAGCAGTGCAGCCTCATGCAGCCTCCGAGTGTTACACACCATACTTGCTGAGACATCAGCCGAAGGTGGATGCGGCCTGGTGGCTGTTCATGCAGAAGCAATCGTACGGGTTGGATCAAGGAAAACGCTCTGAGTTGCAAGCAGAGGCGGTCCAGGGGGTGCAGGCCCCGCAGCCGGAGGTGGCAAAGGCGGTGGCAGGGCTTAGTCAGAATGCGAAGCTTGACGAAACTGGGACTCCAAACGTCGCACTCGGGACGGGACCACCAACACTGGAAGCAGACCTCTGGTTTCTAGCAGGGAGAGCGGAGAGCGGCATGTACTACGAAGTTCCTGAGCAACCGATTGAGCTCGGAGCGGAGGTGGCAGCGGTGGAACCTCACCGGATGTCTGCTGCTCATGCACGTACGACGAGTCGTAAGACGTAAGACTCTTCGATGGTCTTCGTGCCCGCAGGCCATGAGCATCTCAGGATGTTGCTGGGAACGTTCTGCTGACGGCGGCACAAGGAGAGGGCGGAGCAGGAGAGGAGAGGGGCCGTGCCTCAACGCAATTGGACTGTGCATCTTTGATTCTCCATGCATCTCCATGCTGTTTGTAAGCTTGCTGCTGGCACAGGGGTGGGAGCTAATGGACCAGGTGGTGCAGGCGGGGAGGGTGAAGACGCAGGTTGTGCCTCAGTGATGCTGGAAGTGCTTCCTTCCCCGACGGTGGTAGTTGTTAGCTGGGTCTCGTGCTGGAACAGGAGCAAGGGGTCTACACGCCCCTGGTGGGGAAGGTGCAGGTGGCGATGGCGAAGATGCTGGCCGCGCCTGTACTTCAAATCACTCGAAACATCGACCGAAAAGCTTCAACATCTTTCAGGCCGCAGCCGGAACGGGAGGCACAGCCCCGGGTGTAGGCACAGTCGCGGCTGCAGGCACCGGTGCTGTTGGCTTTGCAACTGCCACGGGAAGGCTAGGTGGCGCTGGTGACACAGGCTTGACCTTACAAGCGGAGGCAGCAGAGATAACGTCAAACACAACAGGAGTCCAAAGATTCGATATTCCGCCAAACGATGAGCAGAGACTTCTGAGACCAGGACTGGTGGCACAGGCGCTGACCTTGCAGTCTCGGCGTAAGTTGTTCTTTTGCGGCACTGTATGGTCTAAGACAAGCTCAAAGGCTGAGTAGATAACGTGCAATCCACACCGGCCCACTTCAGCATGTTTGGCCACATCCTCCGCCACGAGGATGATACTAAGCTAGCAGAGGTCCATACAATCCTTCTCAGAATGCGGCACAGAGCCATCGGGTTTCTTGTCCAAGAGAGGTAGCCTGACAACAAGACAGGAAAGATCATTTCTTCAGTGCATTTCAGTGCCAAAACCCTAAAAGCGAAGGCCCTCTGACTCAGCTGCAAAATACTGCTGAAGATGAAATGCAGACAGAGTTGCAAGTTGGACCACTGTGCATCACTGAGAGGCTGGGGAGAATATCTCGACCTGGTTGTGTTGCGTTTGTCTGCGAAAGACCCATGTTCGACTCCCAGTCTCCCAGCTCGGCTGATCTTGGCTTCAACAAGGGCTCCAACAGCACTGCTTGAACATCCAGCGCTCGTACCTGGCGCACTGTTCTTCGCATGAGCACCTCGCGCTGTTCCTCGTGATCTCAGAAGCGGGCAGATTCTGCCCCAAGCTGTTTGAACAAGTTCTCCAGGGGTGTTCCTGCAGCTGCCGGGCATGACCAAGAAGACAAAGACTCTTGTGAGTGAGTGAGTGAGTGAGTGAGTGAGTCAGTGAGCAAGTGAATGAGCGAGCGAGTGAGTGACGACCTGCAGTCGACACTGCAGCCTACCGTCCACGTCCCTCTCGACTTCTTGGGGAGGCTCCAAAAGAACTGTGACTCTAGCTTGCGAAACACCTCAGCGGGCCTTGAGAGCGTGTGATCTTGTCCACGGACTTGATCAAATCCTTCCCCTCAGACGCCACTGCCACACCCGTGCAAAACGGTTCCAAGCACAGAAGCTTGCCAGGGATCCGACCCACTGCACCTGACACATGCAATCGACAGCCCAGATTTCAACAAGCTCCAGCAGCAATGTCTCCTTCAAGCCCTACCAAACTTCAAAGCCTGTGGGATGGGGTTAGGCAGGCTCATCATGCAAGCTTGGAAGTCCTGCTGCAAGAAGGCACCAGGGCGATGCACCGCAACACAAAAACTTATTCCTCACTGGGCTCCTCGAAGGAGAGGCTCGGAGGCTGGTTGGGCCTTGTCCGTCGCGCAAGGCGGCTGAAGAGCATCTCTGCCTGCACAAGAACTGCGTGCTGCGCATTGCTACGCAAGCGCGCAACGCCTCGGATCTGGACAGAGGGAAACCATGGTGATCAACCGCGGAGAGAAAGCCTTGGATTTCTGGTTTCACCGAGGCCCGGACGGCGTCTTATCCCTACACTCCAGTACCGTAAGTCCGTCGCCTTCCTGCGAGACAGCCTGGCTGAGCTCAACGGCAGACAAGCACTCGGTGAGTGCGCTAGTCACTAGCCTCTGGCCTGCTCCATATGCGTATCGTACAAGACGAAGGCAGAATTCACAGTGAGGCCTGCAAGCCAAAAGCAAGCCGGGAGTCGGAAAAGCTTGAATCTACGGCACTCCACCAGAGTCTAGGGCAACCGGGCCAACGACCCTTGGAGACAATGTAGGTCTGCAAACGGCCCAAGCCTAGCCGCATAACAATGTGGCAGCACAGGTCCATGAAGATAATCGTCTCTGAGAATCTCAGAGTGCAGGGCAGGCAATGGCCGGGAAATCCTCCGGTGATAACCTCGCCGGACCGGCACTTCGCACGTGGAGTCCGACGTAAAGTTTTTTGGGAACCAGGCAGTGACAGCCTAGCTGAAAGTGGAGGTTGCACGTGCGCGGCCTGAAGCTGTGTCCACATGCTGGTTAAAGCCAAGAAAGCCCCTTTGCAAATCCTGCCTCCAAAGCTGGCCACGTTGGCCAGGCGCTTCTCGGCCCTCCCTGGAAAAGGCGGAGGCGGAAGAAAGGCTCCAGCCGGCTCCAAACCGTTGTGCTCTCTGCCTGACGCCATCCGTCCGAGAGCTGCTCCGGCGCCAGCGTGTTCGCCAAGCGAGAGGCGCCTGCCCTGCAAAGGCAAAGAGCAGACGGGACACGTATGGGACTCCGGGACTCCGGGGCTCTCGGCTCTCCTCGGCTCTCCTCGGCTCTCCTCTTGTCTTTGCGGCACTTCAACCCCAAAGCTGAGCGGACGGCGGAGAGAGCGGCAGTCCCCTGCGCAGTGCGGAGTCTAGACTCTAGACGTCCGTCGTTCGGTGGGTTCGGCTCTTGCACGCGTCAAAATAGGAGAAGCTAGGGCTGCGGCTCGAGCTGCAAGTTTGGCAACGAAGCAGACATCGGAGAAAGCAAACCCCCACTGGGCGTTCTCGACCTGGCAGCATCCGAAGGTCAAGGTTGGGACGTGTCGACCGTGGCTTGGCTTCAGGCAGCCCACTGCTCTTCTCCAGCAGTTGGGACCTCGGTTGTTCGTCTGTGACCACGGAGCGACCGAGGTAACTGAGAACCAGGCAGCATTTGCGACTCCCCCATGTTGCTAGCAAAAGAGGTAAGGCCAGGCTGGCACGGGTGGCAGAGGCAGTGAGGTGTACTTGCCACGCAGTTGTCGCCCGCAGCAGAAACCGATAAGTGCAAGCTGCCATGTACAGTCACGGTCGAAGCGAGCAGAGGGGCGCCAAAGCTCGGCCCCCGGGACAGAACCAAGTGCAGAAGTTGCTGAAGTCCAGGCCGGGGGCCTCACAATCCCCATCCAAACCACACATTGCCTTGCCGCCCCTTCTGCGAAGACACGGCAGAAAAAAACAGCTTGAGTACACTGCGCCGTCTGGAACGGTGATGCGCCAGAGCCGTGCAACTACCTGTGAAAGCCCGAGTATTGGCGATGCGCTATGCAAATCTGTGCAACGTAAATTCGCTGTAAACTGAACAAAGCAGCGGGCGCTGCCCGCAGGGCCTCCGGATCAATGTCGGGTTCAAAGGTGGAAAGCACCTTGCAAAGCGGCTCCTAACTCCTGCACACGGGACACCGGGAAAGCCCGAGTTCGGGACTCGTGCCAAGTCAGCCCGGCTCATGATTGCAGCCTGAAACCAGACAGGACCGGACCAGCTCCCGAAGCGAATGCTCCAGGCTTCTTGGCCGAGGGCTGCAAACGTTCCTCCTGCGCTGAGAAGCAGACTCCTCGGCCGCCTGACTTGCAGAATCCGCGAAAGACCTCATCTCAACGACCGTGTGGCTCAGGCTCAGAGGGCTTCTTCACATGGCCTCCTCGAACGGGCGGTTGGACCGTCCGACGGCACTTCGAACACGTCCCACGACTCGTTCGGCCTGCAATAACCATCAGAAGTAAGACTCGGCCAGTCAAGAACATCCGGTGCGAAGAAAGGCCTCAGGGCTCAGCGGTGAGCTGCTGTAGCCATTGGCACAACCTCAGCGCGGATATCTCCAAATGGCCCTGCAGCGGCATTCAAACATCCTTCGAGCGAGGCAAGGGCCGTGATGGGAGCAGCCGTTTGCCATTGCAGGAGCAGGGCTGGACAGTTCGAGCGCCTGCGAAGGAAGGTCTCAGAAAAAGACGTTGCAAAGATGCGAGGCTTCTGCCGCAGATGAGGATCTGGATGTTGCTGCTCTTGTTCTCTCTCCTTTTTCTCTATCTCTTCCTTCGTGCCTGTGTGATTTCTTCCAGCACAGCAGTGTCCCGCTCATTGCCTTTTCCAGAGAGCCCTGTACACTTCTCGCATACCACCTGCCGTAGAATGGCAGCACAAAAAGTGGGTTCGCGGCTGCCGACGGCAAAGGCAAAGAGCTCCAAGACATCTGTGTGACCTCGGAAACACGACAAGTCCGAAAAGTGGTACCCTACAGAGATTGCCCGCTGAGTTGACGACTCACTCCAAGGTTCAGCGAAGCCTTGAAACATGCATGGAACCAGGGCTAGTGGCACTGCTGGCACTGCTCTTCCTGAGGCACAAGCAATGCAGGCCACGAACTCATCCCGGCTGAGAAGCCCTTGGCTCGCTGCCTTGGGCATCGGCTCATCGGGCACAGCGAGGAGAGCGGACGGATGCAACTACTCAGGCGGCGACCACTGACCGGGCCCGCAAGAAACTTGCAGGCGTGTCACCCTCGAACATAAAAGGTTGGTCAGTTGTCGTGTGACAATGTAACCCGGCCTGCGAGTCAAGCTTGCTGCGGATTTGCCTCACCAATGTTGCCTCGAAGCAATGTAATCTGACATGCCAACGTGCACTGTTTCTTCCGGGCCTTTACTTCGTGGGAAGACTACCCTGACAGCGCAGGAATCTCAAGTCTTGGCACCAGACTCGCTTCGTGTCCTTCGGGCACAACAGTTCACATGTGTGGTATCTAGACACTGGAACAAGAAACTGTCGAAGTTTATCAAGGACCAACACAATCCTGCAGAACTGAAACGAAACTGTGCTTTAGTCAAGTTGTTTCAGGCAGTTGCTGAAACTCTTGAGAATCCGTGTAGCACTTCACGGTGAGGCAGCAGGAAATCGATGCCGTCGCCGTGCGAAGCCATAGGACCCTTTGTGCCCCACCGCGCCTGCGAAGACAAGCTCGTAGACAGCCTGCTGGGCCCGCACAAAGACAACTCTGATGCAACGTTGCAGGGGTGCATATCCCGTCATGACTGAGCTGTCGGCGGAGGCTGTGCAAAAACTTGCTGCCGCCGTGCCTGAGAAGTCACAGCAAAGCAGCAGATGGACGCGACGTTTGCTTTGCGCCAGGGTGCCTCATCTAAGCTTCGCGAAAGCGCCGTCTGCAACAATCGCATGCGTGCGGCCTCAGCTCGACAGGAACAGGTAGTCATTAGTCCGTGGAGTCCTTGCGAAAATACCTCTGCGACTGTGAGTGCTTGTGTGCGGATTGCACCCGGCGCCAGGAAGCTGACGCAAATCTCTGCACAGGCCGCAGCTGCGTTACGCATGTGGCTGGACCTTGTCGCAAACTAGAGCACCCGTCGCATACAGTGTGGAAGGTGCTTCCAAGCAAGTTCCGCACATGGCTGCCAGCATCTCATCTTGAATTCCCTCTGTGATGTCAGCAACCTGGGGCAAAGCGACGTGTGAAAAGTTTCGCTGTGCAGCTCACGAAACAAGCCTAGATACTATCTAGACATTCTATAGACTCTAGACCAACCGTAGATCTCCTCAGCGAGCCGCTCTCTCTGTCTCTCTCACTATATCTTCGCTGGCTCTTCACAGAAAAAAGAGCTGCATCCGAGGTGGCGCACGACTTTCGGTATCCTCGCATCCTGCCATCGATGCTGCACCGAAGACTCGCTGTGTGGAATCTTCAAAACATGCGAGTTGTACGTAAGGAGCCTCCATGCTCGGCTGAGGAATCCGTGCTATGTACAAGGGACGGCGCGGCGAACGCTGTCTTAGTCCTCCTTTCCTTCAAGATTCCGCGTCATGCTCATGAGCCACAGCCACAGCCTACTGTAGCGGCTTAGCACCGGAGACGGCATTTCCCGCCAGTTTAACTCAAAGTTCACTCACTCAGTCCATAAGCAAGTTACCCTCGAACCGGAATGAACCAGATGATAGACTGAAGCTCTCCCCACATGCCTTTAAAATTAGTCTTGAGGAAGCAGCACGACCAAGCCGTTTGCAACGGTCATCAAGCATGCAATTCTAGGTAGAGCAGGCAGATCCGGCATAATTACCCTACATTCCATGCGCTTCCTTTCTGATTCTCGCAGCACGAGACACTCGCAGCAGTCTATGTACCCACAAGCGTGGCAGCGACGATTACAGCAATGCTGCGAGCACAGGTTAGGTACGGCTTGGTACGGCTGGATGGTGGTGGAGGCTGGAGGTCCGACCGAGTTGTTCGTAAGTTGGCTTCTGCATGTTGGGTGCAGGGGTTGAGTGTGACAAGCTCCCTAAATTGAGGGCCTAAGTAGCAGATGTGCTTGGAGTTCCGGCATCACGGTTCCCGTGTTGCATCGGCGCATCCCCAGCAGGCCTGGGGCAGGACAGTGTCCAAACCAGAGAAAGACGTTGCGAAGTCTCCTCTGGAACCTAGCCTCCTCATTTCAGGTTGAGCAAGCTCTTACCCTTCTGGAGGAACTGGAACACTGCTGTGGCCATGTCCTTCACGAACGATAATCTAACGAAGCAGATTCAGAGACAAAATGCAGCGGCCCGGTCTCCTTCTTCTCAGGATTCTTATCCGGATGCCAATCGCGTAAGAGATTTCGGAACTCCTGAAGGAACCACCCGACCAGGCCCAGCACGTGCGAAACTGAGTCTGGGTCTAGAGATCCCAGACTGAGTGTCAGTGTCCTAGACCTGAAAACCAGACACATGTGCGTGAAGGCCTTGGCTCTCTGCTCCTTTGGCTCAACTTTTTGAAGCTCGGTCAGTTTAGCCAGTACCTCGACTGCAGCACATGGCAAGACCACAATAGTTGCGGTGATATGTGCGTGTACTGTGCGCCCAGACTCTCTTCTTGGCTTGTGCCGTCTCTGGATCTTCTACTGCCTGCGCCTCATCATCACATGCAGGTGGTCATAGCCACGGTCTGGCATGGAGGTGCAACTTCTCTGGAGCGTGCCTGCTGAGGCGTGGCTGTAGCTGCAGCCTCACGCTGGCTGGCTTCTCTGATCGGCCGATCGACACAGTACAGGCGAAGTACAGGTCCCCGAGGGCTGAGCTGCAGCGCCAGCAGCTGCGCCACCGGAGTTATCAGTAGGCCTACACGCAAGACGGGACGAGCCCCAAGCAGCGTGACGGAATATGTCCTGAGGACACTGCGCTTCGTTTGTGAACTTGCCTTTTTTCTTTTTCCTCTGCATGTCGAAGTTCCGAATGTACAACACTGTGCAACACCGGTCCAAATAACATGTTAACCAAATAACCAAGCGGCCTTTGGCTCTTGCTGGAAGAACTGCTGCTGGAGGCAGACGACCTGTCGCCCAACAGTTCCGTCCCAAGTTGAGGCGATCCTGGCTGGCCGGTCCTTCGGCTAGAGCTGCTGCGAGACTTCTTTCGCTTCTTCCGTCTCCTGTAAACACAAAGTCCCGTGGGCACGGTTGCCCTGTGCGCAGCCGCGCAATGTGCTTCAGGCACTGGCCACAACAACACAAAAAGACCGCCAGACATCAACATCTGCTTTGATTTGCTCGCTCGTCCTTCTTCGCTTTTTCCGGCTCGAGGGGCTGCTACTTCTCGAGCTCTTTTGCGACGACCTTTCACGGTGCAATTCATTCCATGCCCTTTGGATATGAAGTAGAGTTATGTTCAGGTCCCTGCTTGCTTGTAGATCTACTGGACGATGTTGACGGCGTCCTGGATGGACTCGACCTGGAGCCGGCGAAGGCCACTACACCAGTAACAGCAGCAAGAGACGACGATCATCGCGACGAGAGCTGTGCGTTACGGCACAGGTCTTACAGGAGACTCTGCTTAGCCACGTCGCTGTGTTGAGCAAAAACGCTTGGCCTCTCGCTCGTCAGAGTCCCGGAGGCGCCTAGGTTTCTTTCGCCCCAAACAGCGCCGATCCTGGGAAGCTGGGAAAGTCATGTAGTAAAGTCACGTTTAGAGGATGCGCCTTCCGCCCGAAGTGAGTGGAAGGCAAGCCCAGGATCTGGATGGAGACTGGCTCAAGCCTCGCTCGCCGGTGCCGAAGCATGGTGCAATGGCAATGCTCAACTGGCTGTGAAACACGATTCTGGTCCTTGAGTCCCGGGCTCTCCGTCCAGATTGGCTCCCACACCACTTCCTGGTCGCCAGCCCATGCCTAGGTCACCGAGACTTCCGCTTCCCTTCGTCAGTCGACCAAATCCGCCGAGGCCACAGGCCCAGGCGTCTTGAGGGTTACCTCAAGTTCCCTCCACCGAATCCTCCTCCCTGCAGTCCGAAGTTTGGAGACAGCCTGTTTTTCCACCCCCTTACCCGGCTTCCTTCCATTTTACCTGATTTGTAGGCCCCCCCCCTCTTCCAAAGGAGAAGAGCAGCGAGGTCCCGCACTGGACACGCAAAGGTTGGGGTTGAGAGGCCCCCTTAGCATGGTGTATACGACATCCACTGCCCCCTCGCCCTGCCGCTACAGAGCTGAGGCGGGCGGCGCAGCGTTAAAATTAACAGATGCGTGCAAACCTACAAGATACTGCCATGCAACCCAATGCCTGCAGTACCTGCAGATATGCACACATGCATGTGCACACCCCTGTATGCACCTACAGGTTTGTTGTGTTAACATGTGTTAACCAGCAAATGACGAAGGCAAGCAAGTGACAAGAAACGAATCCCCAAGTGACAAGGGGACGAGCACTTCGCCTGAGACCGCTGCTCCGGAGCAGCTGCGCTCCAAGGCCTGGCGGGTTTAGGGGTGGCCCCCCGAGAGAGCACTGAACACTACGGTCACTACGGCACACTGTGGGGTACCGCCACAAGCTGCTCCCGTCTGAGGCCCCCTCCATACATCTGGCTGAGCTCCCCAGCACCATCCTCACTGGCTTCGTGCATGGAGACAATTACATGCCATGAAACCCCTAACAAATGCACCGGAATTTGAAAGGCTGTCCTCGCTAAGAAGGAAAGATGCTACAACAGGAGCAGGTGCCGCGGCAGGAGCACCCTTCCTGGCAGTGTGAAGACGCTGGAATAGACAGGTTGCCAAAGTTCTCAGCAGGCTCACTAGCTTGCGTCGTCTCACAAGCCGGGCTGACGGTGGCTCCTTTTCTGCAGCCTTTCAAAAAACTTAAAGAAACACCGATCTCCCACTCCTGCAACCCCCGGGCAGTTTTGGCCTCTGCCTCTGCGTCAACGTCCACATCTATACCCTCGCAGCACCATGGCATTGCAGAACAGAAAGCCCACGCGCAAGACACCGTCTTCCTCACACCTGCCTCTGCTTCCTTGGGCTTTTCCCCGTTCTCGGGCACAGTGCTTTCCTCCAAGACGCAAATTTTCGGCAAACGAACGGGTCTTTCCGAAGAATTCTGGTCAAGCTTCCACACCAAATAGTTTCAGGGTTAAGGGCCATGACAGACTTGCAAGCTCGAAAGAACGGCACAGTGAAAGCATCCCTTCCAGCTGAGAAATGATTTGGTGGCATGATGGTTTGCAAACGTCCATAGTGCTCCAACATATTTAATGCAGAGCAGAATCCTTCCCAGTGCCAAGTAGTGGCACTGGGATCACACACCAGAACTTTGCATGTGTTCACGATAGGCACAAAGAAGCATTCATTCGATTAGCTTTGGCCTGCGCCTCACCTTCCTCGGCAACCTTTGGCGCAGACCTCGGGCAGGACAGAAAGGACTGACATCGCGTCGATTGGAGTCTGAGGTGACTGCCCGTTCGCCAGATTCTGCTCGGGCAAATCGGCGGCCTGGCAAAAAGCGCAGAAACGGGCGATGGAGGCTCGCAGAAGGCTGAACCCGCAGGCAGCACAGGTTCCTGCTCAGTTGCTGAACGGAGTGAGCAGTCTGGCCTCAGCGAGCTGCAAAGAAGCACTTGAGCAATGCGACCGAATGCTAGCCGAAACAAACCGCATCTGTGCTTTCGACCGCTCAACAGCACCCACTGCTTCGGACCTCGTTTCGAGTTCCCGCTCAACTGACAACCTCCTGTTCTTCGATTGGCAGTCGCCAAGCCATATCTGTTGCAAGATGTTGTAAGGCATAGACTTGGCAAAGACGACTTTTCTGATCCGTCTCTGCGACCTGTGATGGGCCAAATCCCAGGATTGGTTCCGGTAGCTGCAGGTCACAGCCTCGACCTAGAAGGTCGCATGTCTCGAGGCGGCCGATGGACCTTCATGACCATCACATTAACATTGGCAAAACACATGCTAGCCAAGAGAACTAGGATTCTTTCAGACGAGAACTATCGCAATGCAAGTGCAACCGCCCAATGAGCTGCAGGAAATGAAGATTCGGAAAGCCACCGAAAACACGGAGCGACCGCGACTTAACATCCATCAACACCTGATCACTGGAGCAGCACTAGAGCCAACGACCACCCCTTGAAATTTCAATCGCTGCGTCTTAGGCCACATACTAAGTTGTGGTCTCCACACATCTTGATCCTGTGGACTCATGACAGTTTGAGTCAGCCTGTGGGCCAGATCTCACCTGAGTAAGCGACTGCAGCTGCATTCTACGTTAGTCAAGCTGCGGGTATCTGCAGGTACAGGGAGGGCATACAGGCCAAAAGTATGCTGCCCAGTACTGAGGCGGCACGGAACCCTCATCCAAGAAAGCTTACAGGATGGCGATGTCTTATCAACCTGCGTTCTGCACTGGACACTGAGCCACTAAGCCAAGTACGTCGAATCTGGTCCCAACTGGATGCCGCACTTCTCGTGGAGGTGGAGGCGGTCTGCCTCGCAGCAACAAGCATTCCAGTAAACTTCACGGCAACCGAGCTAAAGTGACCGAAGCTAACGAACGACAAAAAAAACGCCGACAAATGATGCGTGCCAGTTGCTGGGCACGCCCCTCTCCACCAGCTCATGCTCGCCGTGAGCGTAATCTGGCAATTTCGAACGATTGTTGGATTCATCGATTACGACAGATGGAGGAAGCACGAATTTCCGGGTAGCCCGACTGCAAGAAGTTCCACGCGTGCAGCGACCTTCCTTGAAGTAGACCTTGGAATGGCAGCAGCAACAACAACAACAACAGCACCTTCACCCAGTGTCACAGTCGACAGAATAATTAAAACAACATCGTGTCTTTCCAGATTGCCCATGTACAGAAACACGCAACCTTCAAGTACATAGCAATACATGAATGCCGCACAATGTCCAAACTTCAAGGCTCAACCATCTGCAACAAAATCGGGATTCCGGCACAAAGCTGCGTCTTTCGATTGGCAGGCACCGGTGGAGGCGGCATGACGCCTCAGCAGCAACGTAACATCTCCCTGCTCGCTTCACCGCGGCACACCCACCTGCAGGCCCTGGTCCGAAGTTTCCCGGCCCTGGTGGTGGCCCCTTGCCCTTGCCACCGCCCAAAGGCATGGCACCTGGCAGTACTGATCTCTGCATATGCTTGTGAAGATGTGAACGGGACGGCAAAAAGACTCCAGAGATCACAAAGACAGGCCAAAGGATCCCTTGCCGATTGGCGGTTGCCATTTGCCCTTGCCAATTGGCGGCCATCCCTTGCCAATTGGCGGCCGCTCGTTGGCTTGCATGGCCCCGGCATAGAACAGGCGGGCTAGGGATCGCGGGTGCGAAAAACAAGCATTTTCTGAAGCAATTTGAGCCGACAAACATGCATGCCAAAATCTGGACCATGTTGCTTGAATACATACAGTTCTGCACAAGCAATCTCAATAGTTTGCGCTTGCTTCCTGGCATCATGTACGGCGCTGCCTTGATATTTGACAACCAACCGACACCTGCGTGCTCGAATGTTGCCGTCCATGGCATGCAAATGTGCTTGCAAACTGCGCATGTTCATACCACCCCGTGCTATTCCGGTCCATCAGCTACTCAAGATCCCCCGCCGCAGCATCCATCACAGCTTCCATGAATCATTTTTTTATGTGTGTTACCTTACATTGCAATGAAACTGTTATGACTAATATTTTTGTTGTCATGATTTGCGAGAAATATTCATGCATCGCAACCCGCTCAACACTGCATGATGGCATTCGCCAAACTTATCTGTCTGGCATTCGCCAGATGCTGGGCTTTGTTCGGTTTAATCATTCAAAAATCCTCCGTGCCACTAAATTCTATTTGTGATGCAGCTGTGCAACTGTGGTTTAAAAATGAAAATGCATGCTCAACCATCGGACATCCACGATTCCACTCAACGACGATGCACAAGGAAATTAGGTTGAGCTTGTCATAATTTTGTTGACACAACTGCGTTGACATTTTTTGATTTGCAACTTTGTCCGGAAGAACTACATCCTGCGATGCAAGCCAGGATTGATCCATTTTCTCCGTAAATTTTGATCTCGACCACACGGACTGGTGCCCCGAAGCTTGAGCAGGCAACGGCTCTGAAGGTGGCGGGGCAGTCAAGGAACCCAAGACCATCATCTTGCATGCAGCTGCATGTATGGCAGGTCGCAACAAAATCCCTTGCTATACCGCGTGGTTGGTGCAAGTCACAAAGAGTTTGGTTTTTTACTCTGCGGGTTCCCATCCCTCACCACAAGACTCTAAGAAAACGATCAAAAACAACATCACAAATGTGTTTTTTGTACAACTTTCCAAAAATCAGTTTGATCTCGTGAGAATTAGGCTGATCTTCTGAACAGGATCTCCGAATCAAACATGCAGACAGCAGTCACATCGCCGTTCATGTCGCGGTGACACCTAACACGGCCAGATGAACACCTGGCTCGCTGAACAATCCAACACTGGGCTACGCACGACATCTGCAATCAGCAAACGAAATTTGCGGTTGTGTTGACGATGGTGGACAGCCGAAACTGTCGAAGCAGCCAGCCGAAGATGACGCAAGCAGCGCGTTGAGGAGTCAAAGCAAACTCCGCCGCTGCGAAACACACAAAAAGGCATTCATCAAAGCGTGCCCTTGCCAAACTCAAACGAACGAACTGGAGATCAGGCGGCGAAGTGTATATGTCCAGCTGGTTGGCTTGCTAAGCTGGCTGGTGACTGTTTAAGGCTGCTCAAGTTGTCCACCAATCACAGTTGACCCGCACTCAGCCAGCTGAGACAAACTTCCAAACAAGACATTCACGATGCGAAGCAATTGGATTCTTAGACTTTCTTGTGATTGGGTTTTTACTGCGGACGATAAGTGAAAAAGCGGCCTGCGCAGAGCGAGATTTCTTCAAAGGAACCAAGCCGATCGAAAGAATCGCATGACAAAAACCGGGCGCGGCGTTTCGCGCGGTAACTATTAAAAGAAATTAGCGGCGCACGAAGCGTGCCGCCGAGCGAACAAAAACGAGTTTCTGTCTCTGCTTTCCAACCTCACTGAAACCTGCTTTCCCAAATCCAAACACTGCCGTGTTCCCTCTGTGTTTTCAGTCGAGCGTGACCACATCCCTCAGCACGCCTGCCACCTCCACCTGCACACGCGGTGGGGCAGGGCTCACAAGAGGCTTTGAAAAGCACACATGTCCTTCCAGATGACTTCTTCGCAGTCTCTTTGAGACTTGCGTAGCTGACCACACACCGCCGCTGGAAAAAACGGACGTGAAAACGCATGACCACTTGAAAGCAGCGAAAAAGCCATCGTTCTGGGTTGCCTCCAACCCCTTCCTACTCTTCAAAACTGTTCCCACCCAAACACGCACCCGCATTTCTCGCCGAGAATTCATGCGGAAGTTTGTTGTTTGACACAAGTAAGACAACCGAAATCACCGTCGTCCAAGCTTCCGTCAAGCAAAGGGCTCTCAAATCCGAGTTCTACCAGCGGTGGTACGTTGACGCACTGTCGGGAACGGTTTGCCTCTTCGCCTGAGCGAAACACAAGGCTGGGTTTTCCAAAAATCCACGATGGCGGTCCTCGAGGTCGCAGATGTGACACACTGGCTCATGTAAGCTTCGGCCTTTTCAAAGGTCTGAATCTGAGTGGCCCCTCAAACGAGTCTACGCGGCTCTTCTGCATTAACACTCGAACGGAATGCCGGTCCAGGACAGCATGCAACGGGAGGGGACTGCCATCTTGTTGTGGCTTCACTCGGCTGGTTCTACGAACTCGATTGCGACGTCGGATGGTACCCAGACCCTTGACGAGCGTTTAGAGTTTCCAGACCCGGGCTGGACTCTGTCTCCGCAGCAGTCATGCTGGCCTGACACGGTTCTGTTTTTGAGGACGCCGGCCTTACAGAGGCTCCGCAGCCTGTGCGTTAGCCCACCACAACCCCTCGAGAGGACTGGTCGACTACAACTGGGGCTCAGGCAGGCACAGCTTGCCCCAAAGCCCAAATTCCGGTCTGAAACTCTGTCCACAACCCACGCCTACTTTGAGCCGAATGTTCATCCCTCCTGGACCACTTGATTCAGCGCTGCGCACGAATTCTGGCACCTTCTCTAGAACCTGGTACTACTCCGGATTCTGGCAACCATATGCTGCGCAAACACCGCCGTTCGTAACCTTCCATGCCTCCGACTGCGACAAAAACTATCTTTGGATGCCGAAGGATTCTTTAATTCTTTTTGCAAGAAAATTTTTCACTTCAATCCGACACTTCTGAAACATCCAGATCTTCCACATTCTAAACCAAACTGATCCTCACACAAAGAACGAATTTACTGTGGCACATGCCGTCGCCGAACCACGAATAACGCGCGGATCTGCTGGTGGCGGCGCTTGCCTGCACAGGTGAGTGGCCGCAGCTCCCGCCTCTGCGAGACGCTTGCCTGCGCAGGTCAGCGTTTGCCTGGGCCTGCACTGGGCTTGCTCTAAACCTTAAACCCTAAATCCAAAACCCTGAACCTAAACCCTAAATTCAAAACCCTAAACCTAAACCCTACATTCAAAACCCGAAACCTAAACCCTAAACCTAAACCCTAAACCCAAAAGCCCCAACCCAAAACCCTAAACCCAAAACCCCAAACCCAAAACCCAAAACCCTAAACCCTAAAGCCTAAACCCAAATATCGGTGTTTACGTTTTGGTCTAAAACATCTGCGGGCTCCGACTTGCCAAAGCTCAAAAGCCGCCTGCTGCACAAAACTCTACAAGGGTTTTTTTCATTTTGGGCACAGACCTTCAAAACAACGTCTGCTACTAACAAGACCGTGTCTGCTACTTTCACTTCGGCCCAGCTCACAACAGCAAATGCATAGCATTTGCTTTGCTATGTCACCCACGAGTTTGGTGACTGCACTAGCTAAACAAAACGTTTCTTGAAGTGTTGCGAAAACTTCGTGGTGCAAAACAACGCGTGTTTACAAGTTCGTTGGCAAACTTCCGCATGCGACATGCTAGCACTACAAGGCACTACAAAGCCGCGGGACAAACGAAGGCTTCAGTCGCTCACGCCTTGGCATTCCGCAGCTTCTGCTTGCACCGAAATAAAACCATCTGACTTCTGATTGCATCAAGATAAAAACATCTGACTGCTTTCTGAGTTGATCTCGCTGCAAAGCGCCATCCAAGTACTTACGACAAGCGTGAAAACAAGTTCGTTGGCAAACTTCCGCATGCGACATGCTAGCACTGCAAGGCACTACAAAGCCGCGGGACAAACGAAGGCTTCACGCACTCACGCCTTGGCATTCCGCAGCTTCTGCTTGCACCGAAATAAAACCATCTAACTTCTGATTGCATCAAGATAAAAACATCTGACTGCTTTCCGAGTTGATCTCGCTGCAAAGCGCCATCCAAGTACTTACGACATTGACCCAGCGCAATAACACAGCGTTCCAAATCATCCCGCAGCCGTAAACTAGGGTATCAAATTCCGCACTTTTGTCCTATCCGTCAAAGCACATGTCCAAAATCATTCAACACACAAAACAATCGGCTCCCCAAACCATGAACAGACACTTTCGGACAGATCTGCTCTTAAAGCAGGTGCAGGTGGAACATCTTTTGTGCGGGCCGCGAAGCGGGAGTCAGCTGTGGCTGGATCAAGGCGAAGGAGTACGCATTTTTTTGCGAAACTCCTCGGTTCGCCTGTCCCGCCGTGAACGTCTGGCTTTGAGAGTCTTGGGGCCCCTTGCAATGGGGTGCAGATTCAAGCCGCCGAACACGGATTTGTAAAAGAAAGCCTGCTCGCTGCAGCTACTGTGCACAAAATGTGGATGTTCATCCACGACACGGCCCGTGCTAAGCACATACATCACTGTGTACTTGTAGAACAATTTGTTATGAATGGAAAAGAACCACTGCCTTGGGTTTCCCAAAGCAGTGCGAAAAGCAGCTTCACCATCTTCATACAAAGAACAAAGCGCCAAGTCCAACCGCTGCACCATGTTCCTTTTCTTGTTCTTGGCATAATCTGTTTTGTACGTCGGCATAACGATGACTGAAGTAATGTCCACCGTGCGACAGTCTACCATGATGCGGCCCGCAGTCTCGTACTTGAGAAAGGTGTTTGCGTCACCTTGCAGCATACACTACTTCACTGTGTTAACCAAGCACCAACACTGCGTTTAGGAACACAACACATGCCGCATGTCTTCCTTGTCTCGCCACTGCTGCATCAAGTCCAATGTGAGCCGGTGGGATTGGATTCCTTCATCATCTTGCTCGGAC